TGATCCCGGTTCGATTCCAGTTTTCTTACGTTGAATTGTGGAGAATTTTCTCTCTTTTTTTTTTTTGTCTGCAGAGGAAAAAAAAACAACCTAAAGAGTGATTTAGGCCAGGTGAGGTGGCTTACACCTGTAATCCCAGCACTTTGGGAGGCTGAGACGGGTGGATCACCTGAGGTCAGAAGTTCAAGAAAAGCCTGACCAACATGGCGAAACCTCATCTCTACTAAAAATGCAAAAATTAGCTGGGTGTGGTGGCATTCATGTATAATTCCAGCTACTCGGAAGTCTGAGACAGGGCTTGAACCTAGGAGGTGGAGGTTGCAGTGAGCCAAGATCGTGCAATTGCACTCCAGCCTGGGCGACAGAGTGAGACTCCGTCTTTAAAAAAAATTAAAAAAAGAGTGATTGCAGTTTCCTTCCTCTTCAGCTGAGACTGAGTTTGAGCTAAGATGTAATGCAGGGAAAAACCGATTCTGGGTGAATGCAGTGACTCATGCCTGTACTCCTAGCTCTTTGGGTGGCTGAGGTGGATCGCTTGCACCCAGGGGTAAGACCCTGGCTCTTCAAAAAAAAATTTTGTTTTCTTTTCTTTTTGTCACCAAGACTCGCTCATCTCCCTCAGACTGAAGTGCAATGGCACGATCTCGACTCACTGCAACCTCTGCCTCCCGGCTCAAGCAATTCTCCTGCCTCAGCCTCTTGAGTAGCTGGGATTATAGGTGCCTGCCACTACTGCTGGCTAGTTTTTGTATTTTTAGTAGAGACGGGGTTTCACCATGTTAGCCAGGATGGTCTTGAACTCGACCTCAGGTGATCTGCCCGCCTTAGCCTCTCAAAGTGCTGGGATTACAGGTGTAAGCCACCATACCCAACCATCAATTTTCTTTTCTTTTTCTCTTTTTTTTTTGAGACAGAGTGTCACTTTGTCGTCCAGGCTGGAGCACAGTGTCTCAATCTTGGCTCACTGCAACCTCCGTCCCCTGGGTTCAGGCCATTCTTCTGCCTCCGCCTCCTGAGTAGCTGGAACTACAGGGGTGTGCCACCATGCCCAGCTAATTTTGTGTTTTTATTAGAGAGAGAGTTTCACCGTCTTGGCCAGATTGATCTCGAACTCCTGACCTCATGATCCGCCCGCCTCAGCCTCCCAAAGTGCTGGGATTATAGGCATGAGCCACCGTGCCTGGCTTCTTTTAAAATTACATATATATATGTAATATATATATATATATATATATATATATATATATATATATGTAATATTTAAAGATGGGGGGGTCTCTAGTCACTCAGATAGTGGTACTGCAGCCTTAAACTCCTGGGCTCAAGGGATCCAACCGCTTAAGCCTCCCAAGTAACGGACTATAGGCACATGCCATCACACCAAACTTAGTTTTAAAATTTGAGTTGGACACCAGCCTGGCCAACATGGTGAAACCCCCGTCTCTACTAAAAATACAAAAATTAGCCAGGCCTGTAATCCCAGCACTTTGGGAGGCCAAGGCAGGCAGATCACAAGGTCAAGTGATAGAGACCATCCTGGCCAACATGGTGAAACTCTGTCTCTACTAAAAATACAAGAATTAGCCAGGTGTGGTGGCACACACCTGTAGTCCCAGCTACTTGGGAGGCTGAGGCAGGAGAATTGCTTGAACCCTAGAGGCAGAGGTTGCAGTGAGCCAAAATCACACCCCTGCATTCCAGCCTGGCAACAGAGGGAGACTCCGTCTCAAAAAAAAAAAAAAAAAAGATTCCACAAGATGTGGGATTCAGGGAGGGTAGAATTAGACCCTTGGTAGCAAGAGTCCACAGGTCCTGAATGCTGATGGAGCTCAAGCACCTAGCCTTCTTGAGCACTCCCTTTTCTGTAGGGTGATTTTTTTTTTTTTTTTGGAAGGAAAGTCTTGCTCTGTTGCCCGTGATGGAGTGCAGTGGCACGATCTTGGCTTACTGCAACCTCTACCTCCTGGGTTCAAGCGATTCTCCTGCCTCAGCCCCCTAAGAAGTTGGGACTACAGGTGTGCACCACCATGCCCAGTTAATTTTTGTATTTTTATTAAAGACAGGGTTTTGCCATGTTGGCCAAGCTGGTCTTGAACTCCTGACCTCAAGTCATCTGCCTGCCTCAGCCTCACAGTGTTGCGATTGCAGGCGTGAGCCACTGTGGCCAGCCGAAGGTGCTCTTTTGTGAAAGTGTTTTGACTCTTTTTTTTTTTTTTGAGACAGAGTTTCATCTCGTTGCCAGGCTGGAGTGCAATGGCGTGACTCGGCTCACTGCAACCTCCGCCTCCTGGGTTCAAGCAATTCTTCTGCCTCAGCCTCTCCAGTAGCTGGGATTACAGGCGCGCGCCACCATGCCCAGCTAATTTTTGTATTTTTAGTAGAGATGGGGTTTCACCTCGTTGACCAGGATGATCTCGATCTCTTGACCTCGTGATCCACCCGCCTCGGCATCCCAGAGTGCTGGGATTACAGGCGTGAGCCACCGCGCCCGGTTGTGTTTTGACTCTTTTATGCCTCATGCCACCCCTGTGAAAGAAAGCTGTCATCTTGTATGTCAAGTAAGATCTGCAGTCAGCCTAAGGTCATAGAGTAAGATCTGCAGTCAGCCTAAGGTCATAGAGCTAGACAGTAGGAAAGTATGGCTCTCCTCCCAGAGCGAATGACTCCTGGGCTGAGGTAGATGCTTGGGAAGTCCAGCTCACACTTTTATTGCAGAACCTGGCCTGAATTCTGTAGGTTATGACTAGCACTGAAATGAGGGCCAGGTTTGTGAGGCTGGCAGAGTATGGGGTTAACGGTCCCATTGTTTGCAGACAACTCTAGGAGGCACCATCTAGTCTATGTGAATGTGACTCCTGGAATCATGCAGTGGCAGTGTCCTGGCAGCACAGGAACCTGTTTGGCCAAGGTAACCAGCTTATTTATTTATTTAGAGATGGAGCCTCCTCAGGCTGGAGTGCAATGGCGAAATCTCAGCTCACTGCAACCTCTGCCTCCTGGGTTCAAGTGATTCTCCTGCCTCAGTCTCCCAAGTAGCTGGGACTACAGGTGGGCACTACCACACCCAGCGAATTTTGAATTTGTAGTAGAAACGGGATTTCACCATATTGGCCAGGCTGGTCTTGAACTCCTGACCTTAAGTCATCTGCCCACCTCAGCCTCCCAAAGTGCTGGAATTACAGGAGTCAGCTGCCATGCCTGGCTGCTTTTATTTTTTGTAGAGACAGGGCATCTTGCTTTGTTGCCCAGGCTGGTATCCAACTCAGGCTCACAAAGTGCTGGAATTCTACGTGCCAGCCACTGTGCCTGGCTAAGTGTTTGTTGGGATGCTGGTAGGGTGGCCCGGCCTGTTGCCTGAAAGCATTTCTGCTGCTGGAGCCATGGTTGCCTCTACCAGTTTCCAGGCATCACCATACCAAGATGGCTTATCTGGTGAAGAGGTCAAGCTCTGCTTTCTCAGGCAGCAGGGCCCCTTTCTCCCTAGATAAGTGAATTTGACCTTTTTGAAAAGATTTGGCTGACGATGAGCTCCCCAGTCTGGCTTACTGAGGCTTAGTCCTGTTCTGTCATCTGATAATTTTTTTTTTTTTTTGAGACAGGATCTGGCTCTACCACACAAGCGATCAAGAGATTGTATAGTAGCACAATCTTGGCTCACTGCAACCTCCACCTCCTGGCTATCCTCCCACCTCAGCCTCCTGAGTAACTATGCGTGCACCACAGAGGCTGAGGTTTTTGTTTTTTTATCATTTTTATTAAAAAAAATTTTTTCCCCCAGAGGAAAAGAAATAATGAGTTTTTTTAAAAAAAAGCCCTGGAACCTTCCCTTAGTAATAATTCCCATACATACAGCCTCATACAAGGCTAGGTAAGACACAGTAAGGCACTGCGTTCTAACCAGTTCATTTAATCTTTACAACAAATCTGGGAGGTGAGCAGACTTTCACCAGGGTAGGTAATGGAGGCCCTATGTAGCTGAGAAACTTGCCAGAAGCAAGCAAAAGCATCCACACCTATTGACAAAATTAGAGGGAGCTACAACTACTGGGGTTTAAAACAGAATCCAGGCCCTGCCTGAACCCTCAGAAGAATCAATAAGTTGCTTCTGTTGTATTTCATCAGTGAAATATGGATAATCACAAGCACCCACTAGGCCCATAAGAAAAGCCGGTGAGAAAACCAAGTGCCTTGAACATCTTGAAGCCCCCTTTGCTCAACATCCAGTCAGTCACTGGATGTGGGCTGGGGTTTGGATTTAGAAAGCATTCACTAAGCACTTATTCTGGGCCAGGAATATGCATTGTCTCATTAACTCTTCTCTAGAGCCCACTAAGCCAGTTGTGATAAAAGGCATTTCACTTGACAGTTGTTTTCAATGAAACAATGCACGTCAAGTGCTTAACAGCATCAGTCCTATTATCATTAGACCAAGAAAGACCTGCCTAGGGCAGAGGCACAAGTCTGGTGGGGCTGACCAGGGACTCCAGCCTTAAGAAATGCAGACCTTGGGAGGCCGAGGCGGGTGGATCACGAAGTCCAGAGATGGAGACCATCCTGGTCAACATGGTGAAACCCCGTCTCTACTAAAAATACAAAAAATTAGCTGGGCATGGTGGCGGGTGCCTGTAATCCCAGCTACTCAGGAGGCTGAGGCAGAATTGCCTGAACCCAGGAGGCGGAGGTTGCGGTGAGCCGAGATTGCGCCATTGCACTCCAGCCTGGGTAACAAGAGTGAAACTCGGTCTCAAAAAAAAAAAAAGAAGAAACGCAGACCATGCACCTCCGCATTTAATCGCCAGAGGGCAGTGGCAGGACCCGTCTGCCACACAAAGCCCAATGCAGTTCCCCGGGCGTCCACCAGAAGGCGAGCCAACAGGGCAAATGGATCCTGGGGACAGACCCCGGCAGCGGCCGTTCTCTTACTGGTCCTTTCTTTGCCTTCAGTTGTACTAAACCTCCCGGGGCCCTAACCAACCCAAGTAAGTCAGGCTGAAAGCAAATTAATAAATACAATTCTGGATTTATTAAAAATCAGGGCTCCCCTGCTGCGCCCTCCTGGCACTAAGGAAATAAATAACCAGAGGGTACACAGCTAGGGAAAGGGGAAAAAAAAATCAGATCTCAAGACAGACTGAAGTACCCTTCCTCCATCCCCAACTCCCACCCCCCTATGGCTCTTGGGACATAGCACCTGAGCAGGCACCTCAGTTCTGGTAGAGTGTGACCCAGCACCAAGGCATGTCTGCCCTGCCCAAGAAGAGAGACAGGCCCTGGGGTCACTTGTTTCCAGCCCTTGATGACCCCAAGACCTGTTCCCCACAGGGGCCAGGGCTGAAGCACCAATTGGAGGCACCTGAGGGTGGTGGTTCAGGGAGGAAGAATGGGATAACAGAACCTATGCAGAAGCCGCGGACGGGGGTCCGGCCCCCTCTCCAAGTTTAGCAGTGCCTGACTCAGGTCTGCCCCATTCTCCTTTCCCCTTGAGCCCCGCCTGCACTCAGCTGAGGATCTTCCGGGGCAGTTCAACAGCGGCACGGATGAAGACTGCATCATCCCGCACATAGTTTCGCTTTCGGATGTCCTGATGGGAGATGAACTTGGGATAACCAAAGCCCAGAGAACTCTCATCCAGGGAGCCCCGCCAAGTGCCTGGCTTCTGGAAATTCTTCCAGTTTGGGTCAGGGTGGAAGGTCTCAGTGACGTGCTGTGGTTTAGCCAGCCCAGGGTCGCTCTGATCCAGCAGGGAGAAGGTGACACGGCGGGCAAAGGGCCACTCAAGGAGATTGTCAAAGGCGCCAGGCAGCACTCGAATGTACAGTGAGAGGTGTGTGCCCTCGCCACTGCCATTGCCATTGAGGAATGCAGACACCTGCAGCTTGTAACCATACTTATGTGTGTAGAAGGCTGGGCTGAAGCATTCAAGGTTGGGCTTGGCCTTGGCCTCCTGCAGCCGTCGCCCGTAGCTGCCAATCTTCCAGATGAGCACGCCATCACTGCCCACTGATAGCTCCTCCAGCTCTCGCCGAAGCTCCTGCAGCTCCTGGCGTTGCCGGCTCACCAGGGCACACATCATGGCCAGATGTGGCTTCACACTCTCCTCCACATGCCGTGCCATTGCGAGCTTAGGGCACTGTTGGCAAAGCCCAGGCCATAGGGGAAGGGAGAAGAGTTATTAGTAGGGGAAAGTCCAGGGGAGAGAAGAGTGGGTACAGGGTAGCAGGGACCCAGCTCTATGTGAGGAAGATAGAGGGTGGTAGGAAGAGGCTGGAGCTGGCCAGCATGGGGGACTGATGGCTTCAGAGAAGCACAGCAGGGGACCACACCAAGGCCTAAGTGGCATCAAGAAGCCAAGCCTCCGTCTAGGGCTTCAAGGACAAAAAAGGGCTGACAGAAGGAGAAGGGGTATCTCACCCTGTGCTTGCAGCCGGAGTCTTTGAATGGGCATAGCACCAGGGCGGTACTACAGCTGTCCTTCAGATGGCCTGGCAGGTCCTCCCGAGCCACAGTGCCCACACCACACTGGTTGGGGCAGGGAACAGGCAGCCTTGGGCACTGGTACTGGTGGCTCTGGGGCCACAGAGGCAGAGAGGCAGTAGTCAATAGCCTGGCTCTGTGTCACCTGCCCTGCAACCTCCCTGTCACCTGGCTCCCTGTCACCTGCCCTGCTCAGGAAGGGCCTCACCTGGATGGTGTCAAAGACGAACTCCTTAGTGCAGTAGGTGCAAGGCTGAGTGCGCTTGGGGCACTCCGAGGTGGCATGCTGAGCCAGCAGCCGCCGCATCATGCGGGCACCACACTTATTCTCACAGTAGACACTCTCTTGGGGGCACATACCCTCGTGACTCTGTGGAAATGTCAGAGGTGCTGAGTCAAGGGATGCCTAGGCCATCAGGTACCCCTCCTCCACACTCAGCCAGACCCCACCCACCTCATACGCCTCCCCACTGAAGTCACAGCCACAAAACTCGCACTTGAGGCGCCGCTTGGGGCAGTCGTGCTGTAAGTGTGCAGGTAGATCACGGCGGCTCAGCTTCATGGGGCAGCGATTAGGGCAGGGAACTACATTGAAGCTGCAGGTATTCAGGTGGCCCTGGTGGGAAGGCTGCCGTTAGTGCCTGCCAAGGGAGAGGTGGTGCCAGACCTCCCATCAGAGCCTCACCTGTAGATGACGTAGTGGCCCACTCCAGCGGCAGCCCTCCTCACTGTGGATGCAGCGGATAGGCAGGCCCAATACTTGTACTTCCAGCTCCGGGTCTGGGTAGATCTGGGGGTGGGGATAGGGGGAACTGGCCAGGGTGAGAGCCGACTGCAGTGCCCATTGCACACCCCGGGCCCCAGGTGGGCTGGCTCTACCTTGGAGCCTGTAACAGCCTCCCGGGCTCTTTGCCCCTCTGTGTCCAGGGATGCAGGGCACAGCAGGCAGCGTCTGCTCTGATGCTGGGTCCTAACATGCCTGCACAGGACGCTTCCTTTGAAGAGGGAGCCAATCGGCCTGCTCAATCCCAGGCTGTCCCCCAGGCTCTGCTTCCTTCCCCCTGGAGGAGGGATACTGGCCCTCAGCCACAGGTCTAGTCTGCCACCGGAAGGGGAGGGAGCACTTGTTGCAGGCACAGAGCAGCTCTGTGCACCCCTACAGGCTGGGCATTGTGCCTGCCCTCCAGGGCAAACAGGGCCCTCGTTTGCAAACTGGCCTGGTGGGAGGGAACAGGCTACCTTTGTAGGGGCACACTATCCTCAGGCTCTTGGTTGACACTGGCCCTGAGCCCACTGGCTGCCAGCACCTCCAGCCTCCAAGGGCAACAGACTGTGCTTGGCCTTCTTCCTGGCAGTGTGGACTCACCTTGGCATAGTCCAGAGGAAGCTGGTCCTCAGGGCACTTGAAGACTCCTTCACTGAAAGCGGGGAGGGGCAGGGTCAAGGCTTCTCATTAGGGGAAAGGAAGGCCTGGCTCCACCCCCTCCACCAGAGCAGCCTCCTTCCCTCACCAGACCGGTTCCCAGCCAGCCCAGGTGAGACAAAAGGGCAAGCAAAGGCCCTAGGGGCTCCACTTCCCCAGGATCCCAGAAGATACCCTAGCCCGTGTCCTGGGAAGGGGGGTCTCCTGGGAAGGGGGGTCTCGGCCTAGTGGAGGCACAAGCTGCCTCAGTCAGGACTTGGCCAACAGGTGGCAGCTGGCACCCCCTCCCCCAGGAAGGCAGCTGAACTGGGAAAGGAACAGGTTGCACAGTCCACCCCCTCCCCCCAGGTTAGTTTTCATTGGCTGGGCTGAAAGCTGATTGGGAGGGGGAACAGGGATGGGCAGAGATTAAGGGCCTTCCATGGCTGCCCAGTCCCCAGGAAGGTCCCCTGCCAAGAACCAGGGCAAAGGTCAGCTTGCGGCCACCTCACCCAGCCCTCCTCCTTTAAGGGTGTGTCTCCCATGGGAAAGGGGAGGAAAGGCATGCTCCCTGGCACTTGTTTATACTCCTCCCCGGCCCTTGCCACCTGCCTCTGAGAAAGGGTGGAATGCCCCCATTTTACAGATGGAACAGCTTACAAGTGAAGCAGCACCTGGCTATGTGTGTCTGACTCCACAGCTCAAACAGGCTCTACTAAACCACACACAGAGGAAGAGAAGCTGGCAAGCGAAAATGTCCAGGCAAGCACAGCTAAGACTGGGCACTGCTCAGTGGGCTTCTGAAGCCTGGTGACGCTCCCCTTCTGCAAGCTGTCCGCCTTTTCCTGCAGATTCCTACCTGGCTGTCAGCACCCAAGGAGCCTGTTGGCATGCTTCTTTCTGTCAACACGCCCTCGCTGACCCCAGCCACAACCAGTCACACATGCCTGGCAGGGCTGAGGCAGAGCAAGAGCTCACCCAGCAGGACTGAAGGCCCTGGGGCAGGGCATTCCTGGCAGGTCTGAGTCAGGTAGGTGGGAGGCAGGCAGGGAGCAAGGCGGAAGCAGAGCCCAAAAGGCAGCCCAGTTCTAGAGGCACTCTCCAGGGTCTGGGCAGTCCAGGCCCCTACTGCCCCAAGGATTTCTAGCACCCACCTCCTCCCCTTGACCCCACTACCACTGACCCCACTATCAATGCCAAGGACAATACAAGCAGCGCAGGCAGTGAAGGGGTGTGTCTGCCCACAGGGCAACCAGCATTCCTGGGCCAACCTAACAGCTCAGGCAGGAGTGGGGAAAGAGGGGTGGGCCCAGGGGTAGAGGGGTCCACTTGGCTGCTTCAAGAATGTGCTGACTTAGTGGTTTTGGAGACAGGGAGAGGATGGAAGCAAGTCCCTAGGCTTCAGACAGAAGCCTAGCCTGCAGCTTGGGGCCCAGCCAGGGCTGTGGACACCCTCACTCGTGCTTGTTCCGTGACGGTTGAGGGTGAGGAGTAGTGCCCGCCCAACCACCTCTCCCCTTCAGAAGCCTCAGCAACACAGCTCAGGCGCTGGGGGATGGGGGGAGAGGCAGGGCAGAGGCTGCTCCAGGATGTGCAGTGGAGGCCCAGGCCCAGGGAAGAAGACAGGATGGGGGGAGGGCAGTGGGAGAGGAAGAGGGGATTTCCGGGAGGGGGAGGGGCAGAGAGGGGCCAAGAAAGTGGTAGAAGGAATCGGGCCTGCCAGCCCCCTCCCCTGCTCCTTCCCCGAGGTAGTCAGGATGGGTCAGCTGTTGGGGGGGGGCGGAAGGGGGCTTAGCTGGCCTCATCTGGAACCCAGAGGGCCGGGGAAGAGCCAAGGCGGAGACAATGGGACTGTGTCTGTAGGAGTGTAAATGTGTACACTGCCAGGGGGAGGGGGAGGCCAGGGAGGAGGGGGCAGTCGTGAAGCTTGTGCGGGAGCATCTGTGAGGGCAGGAGCCGGCCCCGGCTGTGGGGAACAGAAAACAAAGGGCCTGCAGAGATTTCCGCCAGTAGGAGCTGCGGAGGACCACGCGAGGGAGGAAGGCTTGGAGGGAGGGAGCACTGAAGGCAGGAGCCCCAGAGGTGCTCTCCCTGCCGTGCCCTCGGTCCCCTCTGCTCCGCAAACAGCCAGGCAGTGGCCGACCCAGCCTCCCCTGGCGCTCTGGGACATGACCTCCGCAGGTGTCCGGGCTCCTTCACCCTGCCTTCCACACCCGGGCCTGAAAGGTTCATAGCCAGGAGATTCTAGACACCACAGGGCGCCCAGAAACTTGATGGATGCCCAAGAGCCAAGGGCTGACCTGAGAGGGCAGCGGGAGTTCAGTAACAACGAGTGCGACCCCCTCCTTCACGACTTATGGCCCACCCGCCCTACTCCAACCCCGGGAAGAGAAGGGAACCGCCTAGAGGGGTCCGGGTTCGGGGCAGGATTCAGTCCTTCCTCCATTGTGTGCTCACAGCAGCCCGAGCTTAAATCCCGGTTAAGCCTTTAAGAAACTCTGTGACCCTGGGCAAGTCGCAGCCTTTCTTTGAATCTCGTTTCCCCATCTGTGAAATGGGAGAACAATAGCTCCGTTCTCTGAACGTTCGAAGAACCGGGAGAGGTTAGATGGGGGAAAGCTCCGGAGGCTTAAAGTGCCGCGCTGGAGCGGGTTCTGTCCTCTTCCCGCAAGATTCAAAGTTCAAGGCTGAGGCCGCGACGGCTCTCAGGTGAGGGGGAAGGGCATCTTCCCCTCCCCGCCCCGCGGGAAGGCGCCGAGGTCTTCCGCCCGGGGCCGGGCAGGTGGACCCGGACCCCTCGGATTCCTGCGGGGGGTCCTCCCTCGGGGCTTGACGTCACCTCTCCCTTCCCCGTGACGTCACGGGCGCCCCTGAGGTCACAGGGTCGCGGCGCAGACAAAGACCCGGCGTGCCCCAAGCTCGAGCCCCTCCCCAAGCGGCGCCCCCCACCCCGCCCCGCCCCCGCCGGCTCCAACTCCGTCTCCTCGGCCCGCACCTGAGGAACTCCTGCAGGCAGGTGTCGCAGAAGCGGTGGCCGCAGGTGGATACCTGCACAGGCTCGCGCATGGGCTTCCCGCACAGTGGGCAGAGCAGCCGTCGCTTGGGCTTCTCCAGGAATTTGTAGTCGAAGCCGGGCATGGCGGGCGAGTGGCCGGCACGGGCGAGCGAGGCCGGGCACACGGCGGCCCCACAGCCCGCGCCTCGCTGGAGCCGCGCTCCGGGCTCCGGGCGGCGCCGACTGGCGGCCGCGGCCAAGACCCGGCTCTGGAGCCCGCCCGCCGGAAGAGGGGGCGGGGCAGCGGCCGCGCGGTCCTAATGCGCGCCCGTGCGGCCCCGCCCACTCCCGAGTGCAAGGCTTTCGGGTCCGGTAACTGCAAGTCTCGCCCACCGCGGGAGCTAGGGCTTTCTTTCCCCTGTGGGAGAGAGATCGCAGCTCCGCTTCTCCCCAGAGCGGGCGGGGCCTGGCGCTAGGATGGGACGGAGGGCCCCGGGAGAGTGCGGGTCGGAAAAAGGGAAGGGCCGCGCCACAGAGGTTTTTTTTCCTCAGAGGCAACAGCTCGGCCTCGGGGGCCGGAGCCGCCTGGGATCGGGGCCCCAGCTTCCAGGTGCTAGGCAGCCGAAGCCTGGCAACCAGCTCGGGGGAGCCCAGCTGAGGCGGGTAGGCTGGACTGGGCTCTGGGCCAGAGGAACCTCGGCCCCAGCCTCCGGCTGCGCCCACATTCCTCCCTTGGCCGCAGCCCTGCATCCGAGGTCCGGCCCAGCCCAGTCCTGGGGTGCCTGGTCGCCACTCCCACCCCTGAAGACACCGCACTCCAGGCAGGCCGCTGAAATTTTTATTAGCGCTACTTCCTGTCCTCTGGGAAACAAGTCTGGTCCCACCAGCTACCCTTTCTACCATTACTGGGGAAAGGCATGGGGTGAGGGACAACCCCCAGCGCTGATCTTTTCTGCAGCAGATACTTAGTGGCTGTTGCCCTCCCGCTGGGGAAGGGAGGCCAGCTAACGTCGAACAAATCCCTGCCTTAGAATGAAAGTGTGGGGAGGTGGCAGCACTCCCTGGGACCCCAGTGCCCCAGGCTATGCAGAATGAAAGTGTGATGGAGGTGGCAGCACCCCCTGGGACCCCCCGTGCCCCAGGCTATACAGAAGCTAGGCAGGCCTAACGTCCAGTCCAGGCAGGCTCTGGCTTGCTCTGCTCCAAAACATGGAGACACTCCTGGTGAGCACCAAGGACATTTGAGAGGGAGTCTTGATCTGTCACCCAGACTGGAGTGCAGTGGTTTGATCTCGACTCACTGCAACCTTCGTCTCCCAGGTTCAAGGAATTCTCCTGCTTTAACCTCCAGAGTAGCTGGGATTATAGGCACCCACCATCACGCCCAGCTAATTTTTGTTTTGTTTTTTGAGACAGTTTTGCTCGTTACCCAGGCTGGCGTGCAATGGCGCGATCTCAGCTCACCGCAACCTCCGCCTCCTGGGTTCAGGCAATTCTCCTGCCTCAGGCTCCTGAGTAGCTGGGACTATAGACGCACGCCACCATGCCCAGCTAATTTTTTTTTTTTGTATTTTTAGTAGAGATGGGGTTTCACCATGTTGACTAGGATGGTCTCGATCTCTTGACCTTGTGATCCACCCGCCTCGGCCTCCCAAAGTGCTGGGATTATAGGCGTGAGCCACCCTGCCTGGCCTTGTTTTTTCTTTCCTTTATTTTTTAAAGAACCTATAATGAGAACTTTAATGGGCCAGAATTTTTTTTTTTTTAAGATGGGATTTCACCATGTTGGTCAGACTGGTCTTGAACTCCCGACCTCAGGTGATCCGCCGGCCTTGGCCTCCAAAGTGCTTGGACTACAGACGTGAGCCCCATTTTTGTATTTTTAGTAGAGACAGAGTTTCACCATGTTGACCTGGCTGGCCTCAAACTCCTGACCTCAAGTGATCCGCCCACCTCAGCCTCCCAAAGTGCTGGGATTAAAGGCCTGAGCCACCACACCTGGCCTTATTTTCTTGTCGTTCTTTTTTTTTTTTTTTTGGTGGAGACAGCAGTCTCTCTATGGTCCCCAGGCTGGTCTCCAACTCCTGGCCACAAGGGATCCTCAACTGCCTTGGCCTCCCAAAGCACTGGGACTGCAGATGTTAGCCACCACCCCTGGTCCAGACTTATTTTCTAACTGGGGTGGGGGAAAGGGCAGGGTCTGTGTGGTGGAGGAGGAGCTATAGCTGCCTTCAGTCTTTTTATGGCAAGGCTCTGGAGGCCACCCTGCTTCCAAAGGCTGGGTCTGCCTTCTAACTCTAGCCAGACTGGACCCTGGGGACACTGACTGAAGGGAAGAAGGGGTAGGAAGGGCAAAGGTGTGGTGGGAGAACAAAGTGGTTGAGGTTTCCATGTCCAAGGCCAAAAGCAGAGCAGGGATTTCACCAGCCCTGACACCCCCACTGATGAATAATCCAGGAGACAGCTGGGAGTCATGCCTTAGGCACCTGCATTTTTCAGTTCAGAGGAGAAGCAATATTAGGGTGGTCCAGAGATGTATCCAGGTGCCTCACGGGGGGACTGGCTCATCTGTGACCGCTGTAGGGTAATGAAGAGAAACCCTTGCAGCTTCGGAGGGCAGTGCCTCCAGAAATCATCATTCACCTCCCATTCCCAGTGGGCCCTGGACTGTGGACCCTGATAGGCTAGAAAAAGAGATTCAACATCAACTGGACTCAGGAGTAGGAGAAGGAAAGCATGTGAACCCTGGGGAGCAGTGCAAGCAGCTCTTTGATGAGGCCCCAGAAGCACCTGCCTTGCTGGCCCCAGGCAGGAAGCTTCAAGCTTTTTACCTGTAGCTTCTGCTTTCTTTTATCTAGGGGCTAAAGATGCTTTTGGTGATATGGGCATCTGTGAACACTGGGGATGAAAGTGTAGGGAGGGGCCAGCTGGGCTGTGTGGTGAAGTGGGAAAAGTTTCAACTCACGGCGAACAGCCAGGAGGGTGTTTCCATGGCAACAGGACACGGAAGTCACCGTGTAAGGGTGTGTCTCATCCAGTTGCACTGGCCGAGGGAATCCAGCATCTTCATCCCTCCTTCCCAGTCGACCTCGGGCCCCTTTGCCCCAAGAGTACACTTCACCCTCTGCCAGGAAGAATCCCCAGGAAGGAAGTGGGAAGCGGGCACAGCCCAAGCAGCAGCTCCCCTCCCACATTGCCAGGATGGCCCCAGGAGGCTGCTGAGTCCAGTGGCCCTGAGCAGCAAACCCCACTACTGCTCAGGGCACTATCTGTCCCCACCATACTCAGTCCTCACCTGCCCCAATAGCTACAGTGAAGGCATCCCCACAGGCTACCACTGCCATCTTGATGCCCTCAAGGCCTTGGACCTTACAGGGTACCCGGCTGCCCCGGCGAGCATTGGTGCCCAACTGCCCATGCTGATTGCTGCCAAAAGTGTAGCAATCACCCAAGGCTGTGGGGGGAGAAGAAGGAAAGGAATGCTTCAACAGGGTACCAAGGAGACCATGAGTCCCCCTCTCGCCTCCTGACCCAAGTCCTGCTCACCAGTCACAGCAGCTGAGTGAGCAGTGCCCAGGTCTACACTCAGCAGGGGCTCCCGGTCCAGGGGTGCAGAGCCTAGTGGTGTGAAGCTCAGGGCCTCCTCCACCTGCTGGTGGAGAACAGGCTCCTCCCCCAGGGAGAGATGGTCCAGGCCCAGCTTGTTGAATCTGAGGGCAGAGCCAGAAGCTAAATCCATCTGATAGTTTGGGCAGGAGCTGGTGCACCAGAAGACAGATCCCACCCTGTGTTGAACCAATAGCACCCTCAGCCCCCTCAATTCTGGTCTTTGGTGAGAGGTAGGCAATGATGGATGGAGCACTGGCAGCCAAGGAGAGCTAGGGACAGATTAGTCATCCCGATGACCTAGTCACCTGTTGCTTCCACAGGCCAGGGCTTGGCCAGGCACAGTGAGGATCATGGAGGAGTCGATGCCACATACAACTCGCTGAGCTTCCTGTCCCAGGGGCATGGGCACCTGCTGGGGGCAGCTGTGGGACTCCCTGGTGCCTAGTCCCAGTCTCCCTGTAAGAAGAAGCCCAGAAGGGGTTAATTTGAGCTTTAGCAGGGGGTGATGCCAGGATGAGGAGGGCCCACTGAGGGGAGGGAACGGCGTGAGTTTTCTGTTCTCTCAGCCCAAGATGCCTTTCCTAGGACTTTCTGCTGGTTGAAATCCTCCTTTATTTTTTATTCCTTCCTTCTTTATTTTGAGACAGTCTCACTCTGTTGCCAAGCTGGAGTGCAATGGTATGATCTCAGCTTACTACAACCTCCAACTCCTTGGTTCAAGTGATTCTCCTGCCTCGGCCTCCAGAGCAGCTGGGATTACAGGCATGCGCCACCATGCCCAGCTAATTATTTTTTATTTTTAATAGAGATGGGGTTTCACCATGTTGGCCAGGATGGTCTAGATCTCATGACCTCATGATCTGCCTGCCTCAGACTCCTAAAGTGCTGAGATTAAAGGTGTGAGCACCACGCCCAGCCTGTTCTTTATTTTTATTTTTTGAGACCGAGTCTCACTGTCACCCAGGCTGGAGTGCAATGGCAAGATCTCAGCTCGCTGCAACCTCCAGCTCCTGGGTTCAAGTGATTCTCCTGCCTCAGCCTCCTGAGTAGCTGAGATTACAGACATCCACCACAATGCCTGGCTAATTTTTTATATTTTTAGTAGAGACAAGGTTTCTCCATGTTGGCCAGGCTGGACTTGAACTCTTGACCTCAGGTGATCTGCCTGCCTCAGCCTCCCAAAGTGCTGGGATTATAGGTGTCAGCCACAGCACCTGGCCAAAATCCTCCTTTAAAGCCCTGTTCAGGTGCCATCTCTCTCCTCCAGTTGACATCACTGTTCACTGAGTTCCACACCTCTGCACCTGGTATGTAGCCCTGATGCTATCTGTTCTCTGGCATGCTGGAGACGTCATCTTTCCCCAACTAGACTGAGTCCTCCAGGAAGACAGGAACCCATCAATGTCATCTCTAGTTTCAGTGCCCACCCTGATGCCTGACCCAAAGGGACCTCAATAAAAATCGGTATGGCTGGGTGTGGTGGCTCACGCCTGTAATCCAAGCATTTTGGAGGCCAAGGCTGGCAGATCACCTGAGTTCGGGAGTTCAAGACCAGCCTGACCAACATGGTGAAACCCCGTCTTTATATTAAATAAATAAATAAATAAATAAAGATAGGTAGATGGCTGGGCACAGTGGCTCACACCTGTAATCTCAGCACTTTGGGAGGCCAAGGTGGGTGGATCATGAGGCCAGGAGTTTGAGACCAGTCTGGCCAAGATGGTGAAACCCTGTCTCTACTAAAAATACAAAAATTAGTCGGGCGTGGTCACAGGCACCTATAGTTTTTTTTTTTTTTTTTTTTTGAGATGGAGTTTCGCTCTTGTTACCCAGGCTGGAGTGCAATGGCGCGATCTCGGCTTACCACAACCTCCGCCTCCTGGGTTCAAGCAGTTCTCCTGCCTCAGCCTCCCGAGTAGCTGGGATTACAGGCGCACGCCACCATGCCAGCTAATTTTTGTATTTTTAGTAGAGACGGGGTTTCACCATGTTGACCAGGATGGTCTCGATTTCTTAACCTCGTGATCCACCCGCCTCAGCCTCCCAAAGTGCTGGGATTATAGGCGTGAGCCACCGTGCCCGGCCCACAGGCACTTATAATCCCAGCTACTCGGGAGGCTGAGGCAGAGAATCGCTTGAACCCAGGTGGCAGAGGTTGCAGTGAGCCGAGATTGTGCTACTGTGCTCCAGCCTGGGCGAAGAAGTGAGATTCTGTCTCAAAAAAAAAAAAAAAAAAAGGTAGATGAATGAAATTTCCTTCATTACATCATAAACACCTGAAGGAAGCCACATATGCATCTCATCTCATCACTAGCACAGGGTGTGCACATAGTTGGTGTAAAATAAAGATTTGCTGAATGAATGAAGAGAATTTGAGAGAAAAGAGGGAGGAGATAATGGGCTGTGGGATGGAAGTATGAAGGGGAACAAGTCATGGCTGAGGATACTGTGAGATGAGACTAGAGGCTGGAGCTTACCCCCATCTCCACGGCCCCACGCAAATAGTTCTCGCTCAGTGGACAAGGCCAGCACGTGAGAGGCCCCACAGGCCACCTGCACCATCTCATAGCCAAGCAAGGCCTCCACAATGGTGGGCTAAAGAGGAGAGGAAGTAAGGAGAGACTGGGCAAAGGGTCTAGACTAACCATCTGGCCTCAACACCCCCTGTAGGGACAAAGCTGGAGGCTGCGCATTCTCCGGAGGTGGCTGTGTCTTTAACTCTAGCCACACGCACTGCCAAGTGGGCAACCACTGGGGCAGCCTGGTCTTTCTGTACTTCCCCTGATGTAGGCGGCGTAGAGCAGGTGCAGCCGGGAAGCTAGAGGAACCTGTGGCTGCTGGGAACTCCCCTGTCCCCAATCTGGTGTCAGCTCTCAGATGTGGGCTCCCTGCCATCCCCTAACTTCCCCCTCCCCAGGGTACATGTGATACCCACCTGGCTGATGTCAGTGAGGCTGCCATGGCCTAGGCACCCATTGCTGCCACTGCCAAAGGTCATGATGATGCCTCGGTCTGGGGAGGAGGGCCGTGAGGAAGGAGAAGGAAGAGAAGTTAAGCAGTCATTCCAGATAGCCCTGTCCACCAGGGGGTTGCAGCAACAAAATAAAGTTGGGGACCAGGGCTGGAAAGATGGGATAGGAAGAGAGGAAGGATAGGAGTCTCTTCAAATGTATATGACTTTGGACAAGTGACACCCTCTCTGAGCCTTAATGTCCCCACTTGTCAAATGAGGATACTATAACTGTTTTGGCAGGCCTGTCCATAGGATCAAGGAGGTAGTGTAAGGAAATCTCCTCAACACTTACTAGAAAGAAGCAATAGCTTGATGACTAGTGAAAGCATTCGTTAAGTAAATGGTTTGCAAGAGAAGAGAGACAGTGCTCTGTGGGGCCTTATAGAAGGTCCCCACCCCGAGGTAGGCCCAAGTCTCACCCGTCAGGCAGGCGGTGAAGAAGTCCCCGCAGGCCACGTGCTTGATGGTCACGCCTGACTGGCCCTCCAGGAAGCGCGAGATGAACTGGGGCTGTGGCTGCTCCACTGCCCCAGGAAGGAGGGTGCCTCCGCCTGCACCTAGGGGTGGGGCCTACAGGGGCGGGAGGATGGGCAGTGCCTGAGCACCCCAACCCTTCTGTGGACCTACACTTCCACCTGTCCAGGCCACCTCCCCACTGGCCTGCTCACCTCCCACAGGATGAGACGCCCAGAGCGTGTGATGCCAGCTTTCTGCGTACGCCCAGCTGCCACCTGGACCACCTCTGTGTTGAGCATTGGCAGCCGCAGGGGGGTGCCCAGCCCACCACCCCAGGTGTACACTGACGACAGTGGTGGTGGGATGGCTGGCCTCACAGGTCCCCGGGGGACACCTGTGGGTACAGTGCATGGGGACTATTAAACTGATGTGAATGGTGTGCCATCTATGGGGACTGACGGCTTCTTCCCACTTACCTCTGCAGCGGACACTGGTGGTCCTGCTCCCTGTGCTGCCAGGGGTCACAGACTTCTCCACCCTGCGGGACAGACGGGGGCCTAAGAACAAAGACTCTCCTGACATTCCTACCTGCAGGGAGGGAGGACTCACCCAGGTGCCCCTCTGCCCCAGGCCTCCTGTGCTCCCATTGGGTGCCCACACCCTGCTGCCCAGGATCGCTTGCTCTCCCTGCACAGGCCTCCGCATGCGGACACTGCCCACGTCGGTGTGGAGGTTGAGGAGGGCACGAATGCAGAGGGGCTGTGCCATGATGTGGCTGAGTGGGGGCCGCTGGGCAGGCTCCAGGCTGAGTAGACTCAGGACCAGCTGGCGCAGCTCGGGGCTGTACCGGTCAGAGATGGGTGCAAAGGTGCCGCTCATGATCTTCAGCACCAGGGCTGGCAGGTTCTGTGAGGGCACCAGGTTGGGAAGTTGGTGAAGTGAGGGCAGCGCCCCCCAGCCCCAACCCCTGGTCTCCTGGGATAACAGCTTTGCCCTCAGGAGACTTCAGTCTGATGAGGTGATTCCCAGACCGCTAGGGGAGTCCAACCTGGCTTTCAGTGACCCCTAGTCTGACAGGGGAGCTACAGCTATGTCTCAGAAGCCCCAGGATGCTGGGAAAACTCAAGTCTTACTCTTGGGAGGGTCCCTTGGGAGAGCCACAGCCCTGCCCTCAGGAGCCCTCAGTCTAATGGGAGGCAAGACCTACTCTTAGAAATCCATAGTCTGAGGCATAGCCATAGCTCTTCCCTGGGGTAATCTGAAAAGGGAGAAACATAACCAGCCAGAGGAGAAACCCCAGGTGGCGGGAGCGAGGGCTGCTGGGGAAGTGGTAGATTTCCCAGTTGTCCCCTAGAGGGTGTGTACACTCACCGCAGCTTCAAAAGCCCTCTTGAGGCTGGCCAGCTCGTAGAGGACACAGCCCAGGGCCCAGATGTCACTCTTCTGGTTATAGGGCTTGCCCTCGCACAGCTCAGGGGAGATGTAGCATGGGGTACCCACCACCTGCAGGAGGGAAGCTGGGATCACAGCCCTGCAGGGAGGAAGACCAGGGGCTCTGCACATTAGCCCATTTGGGGCCACCTTCTCAAGGCAAGCCAAGGAGCTTCCTCCTGCAGGACCACCCAAACAGGGGCCAAAGGGCCAAGGGTTTTTTAGGGGGAGGGGAGGAGGCAGGTTAGGCCCTGGCCCTCAAGACTTCTAGCACCCTGGAGGTCCCCTCCATGCCCAGGCACCGTGTAGGCCTTGCTCTTGCTGCTAAGGATCTTGGAGATGCCAAAATCCCCAATCTTGACGACCATGCGGTGTTTGTCAAGAAGGATGTTCTGGGTCTTGAGGTCTCGGTGCAGGATGAGGTGGGTGTGCACATGATGCAGTGCAAGCAGGATCTGCACAAAGAAGTGCAGGATGGTCTCCTCCTCCAGCAGGGAATTGCAGCGCTTTTGGATGAACTCAGCCAGGGTGCCACCTGTGGCCCAAGGGACTAATCAAGATCCAGGCTTTCACACACCTAGGACAACCCCTCTCCTTTTATGTATGGAACAGAGCACTGGGACCAGAGAGGACAAGGGGCCAGCTGGGGGCAGATCACTGGGACCAGAACTCTGACCCTTGGCCATGCCCATTACAAGGAGGGAAGCCAGGTGATCTAAGTCTGTCTGTTCCAGAGGTAAGAGGCCCCTCCAGCCAGGCCACTATAAGGAGGCTGGCCCACCTGGTGCATATTCCATGGCGATCATGAGGGCTTTGTCTTCCAGGAAGTTCTCGTAGTACTCAATGACATTGGGGTGGTTCAGCAGCTTGAGGACCTGGCACTCATTCTGGGCTGCCTGTCGCTCATCCTTGGTCATCTGTTCCACTGGGATCTGCTTGATGATCACCAGCTTCTGGTCAGCCTTTCGTAGGCACAGGTGCACAATCCTAGGGATATGGAGAACAGGGACAGGTACCAGCTGGGCCTCCAGGCACATATCACGCGCAGGGCAGCCTGGTGACTGATGTCTCTTAGAAGAGGGTTCTAGGCTGGGCGCAGTGGCTCATGCCTGTAATCCACTTTGGGAGGCTGAGGCAGGTGGATCATGAGTTCAGGAGTTCAAGACCAGCCTAGCCAATATGGTGAAAACCTGTTTCTACTAAAAATATAAAAAATTAGCCAGGCGTGGTGGCACACAACTGTTGTCCCAGTTACTTGGGAGGCTGAGGCAGGAGAATCGTTTGAACTCAGGAGGTGGAGGTTGCAGTGAGCTGAAATTGCACCACTGCACTCCAGCCTGGGTGACAGAATGAGAATTCATCTCAAAAAAAGAAAAAAGAAGAGGGTTCTAGACTAAGAGATCATCTAAACAAGTGCACAGAACACTGAGCTTGGGAACAGGGAAAACTGATTACAAGCTGTGTGGGACTTCAGTTTCACCACAGGCACAGAGAGGGTAAAGTTAGTCTTGATCTCTAAGTTCCTGCAGACTGCCTGGGTTCAAATCTGGGCTCCTCCTCTTCCTAGCTATCTGGTTTGATACATTATGTGACATCATTGTCTTGAAAATAAAATGGGCCTCACAGGGTTGTTGAGAGGATCAAATGAGAAAATGCATTAAGGCACTGAGCGCAGTGGCCAGCACAAAGAAAATGCTCAATGAATAGAAGCTTTTCATATTTTTTTATTTCAACTCTGTGGTCAGTGTCCATAAAAGCAGGCACTACAACATTCTGGTTCACCACAGTATTCCCAGTGCGTAGCCCAATATTTAGCACACAATAGGTGGTCAAGAAGCATTTGCTCAATGAATGGAATATAAGCTGATCTAAGTCTCCCATTTTTACCTCTAGCTCAGACTTCTCCTCTGAGCCCCAGACTCAGATATCCACTTGAATGGCTCACATCATCCTAAATTTTTAACAAATTCAAAATAACACCCTTGATTCCTGCCTCCAGACCTTTCCTGGCTCAGGCTCTTCCATCTTGGCAAATTATACCACAATCTGCCAGTTATTAAAATCAGAAACTGCTCAAATCAGAAACCTGAGGCAGGGCCAAGTGGCTCAACACTGTGGAAGCCAAGGCACGGATCACTTGAGTCCAGGCATTCAAGATCAGCCTGGGCAACATGGTGAAACCCAGTCTCTCCAAAAAAAAAATTAGCTGAGCAGGGTGGCATCTATGGTGCCAGCTGCTCTGGAGGCTGAGATGGGAGGATCACTTGAGCCTGGGACATTGAAGCTACAGTTAGCCATGATCATGCCACTGTACTCTAGCCTGGGTGACCAAGTGAGACAGTCTCAAAACAAAACGAAACAACAACAACAAAAGACACTTGAAAATCACCCTAGGCCGGGAGCGGTGGCTCATACCTGTAATCCCAACACTTTGGGAGGACAAGGCAGGCAGATCACTTGAGGTAAGCAGTTTGCGATCAGCCTGGCCAACATGGTGAAACCTCATCTCTACCCAAAATACAAAAATTAGCCAGGCATGGTGGCGGGCACCTGTAATCCCAGCTACTTGGGAGGCTGAGGCAGGAGAATTGCTTGAACCTGGGAGGCGGAGGTTGCAGTGAGCCGAGATCGTGCCACTGCACTCCAGCCTGTATAACAGAGTGAGACTGTCTCAAGGAAAAAAGAAAAGAAAAGAAAAAAGAGGCCAGGCGTGGTGGCTCATGCCTGTAACCCCAGCACTTTGGGAGGCTGAGATGGGCAGATCATGAGGTCAGGAGTTTGAGACCAGCCTGGCCAACACAGTGAAACCTCATGTCTATAAGAAAAAAGAAAAGAAAATCACTCTAGAATCTTTCCTCCATCTCACACAAACACATCACCAAATCCCATCTCTACCTCTGAACTACTGTAAACCCATCCATTCTCTGTACCTTCTCTACAACCCTTATCCTATAGTCATCATCTTTTCTTGCCTAAGATAATGTACAAGTCTCTAAAATAGTCCCTTTCATGCCTGTCACCCTCAAATCTAAATTCCATATGGCAACCAAAATGACATTTTATTCATTTTTAATTTACTTGTCTTTTTTAATGCATATTGGGGTCTCATTATATTGGCCAGGTTGGTCTTGAACTCTTGGCCTCAAGTGATCCTCCCACCTCAGCCTCCAAAAGTGCTGGGATTATAGGCATGAGTTACTATGCTCATCCCCAGAATGCCTTTTAAAAATCCTATCAGACCACTCCTCTTTCTTTTTTTCTTCCCTTTTTTTTTTTTAGACGGATTTTCACTCTTGTTGCCAAGGCTGGAGTGCAATGGCACAGTCTCAGCTCACTGTAACCTCTGTCTCCCAGGTTCAAGTGATTCTCCTGCCTTAGCCTCCCAAGTAGCTGTGATTACAAGGCACCCAACACCATGCCCAGCTAATTTCTGTGTTTTTAGTAGAGACAAAGTTTTCACTGTGTTGGCCAGGTTGGTCAAAAGTGGGTGGATCTCTTGACCTCAGGTGATCCACCCGCTTTGTTCTCCCAAAGTGCTAGGATTACAGGTGTGAGCCCCCATGCCCATCCCTCCTTCTTTTCTCTCTTTTTCTCTTATAGTATTTTTTTTTAGGGTCTCTGTCACCCAGACTGAAGTGCAGTGTTCCAATTTCAGCTTACTACAGCCTCCACCTCCCATGCTCAAGTGATCCTCCCACCTCAGCCTCCCGAGTATCTGGGACTACAGGCACATGAAAATGCCACCACACCTGGCTAATTTTGTATTTTTTGTAGAAAGAGGGACTCACTGTGTTGCCCAGGGTGATTTCTAACTCCTTAGCTCAAGCAATTGCCCACCTTGGCCTCCCAAAGTGCTAGGATTACAGCTGTGAGCCACTGTACCCTGCCCTTTTTCAAAAAACTCTGCCATGTCTCAGGATCTTTCTCCCCCTTTAAAATCCTTAGTGGTGGGCCAGGCGTGGTGGCTTGCTCCTGTAATCCTAGCACTTTGGGAGGCCGAGGTGGGTGGATCACCAGAGGTCAGGAGTCCAAGACCAGGCTGGCCAACACAGTGAAAACCCCGTCTCTATTAAAATAGAAAAATTAGCTGGGTATGGTGGCACACATCTGTAGTCCCAGCTACTTGGGAGGCTGAGGCAAGAGAACTGCTTGAACCTGGGAGGCAGAGGTTGCAGTGAACCAAGATAGTACCACTTCACTCCAGCCTGGGGGACAGAGTGAGACTTTGTCTCAACAAAAATATTAGCGGGGCATCGTGGTATGTGCCTGTAATACCAGCTACTTGGGAGGCTGAGGCAGGAGAATTGCTTGAACCTGGGAGTCAGAGGTTACAGTGAACTGAGATCGTGGCACTGCATTTGAGCCTAGGTGACAGCACAAGACCCTGTCACAAAAAAAGAAAAAACCAAAAAAAAAAACAACAAAAAACAAAACAAAAAAACCCATCGTGGCAAATGAACCATTTTACCTCAGGTTACCAGGCCATAATCTAGTCCCTGCCCTCAACAATTACATTTTATACCATTCTCTACCTTGCCCACTACATTCCAACTATACTAGTCTTTTTCTCTGTTCCCATGTGAGAAATTTCACATATGCTATTTCCTCTCTCTGAAAAGCTCTCTCTTCACCTTCAGACTACTGATCCTCATTCCCTAAGTCTTGGCTTTAAATCTCACTTTTGGCTGGGCACGGTGGCTCATGCCTGTAATCCCAGAACTTTGAGAGGCCGAGGTGGGCGGATCACCTGAGTTCAGGAGTTCCAGACCAGCCTGGCCAACATGGCGAAACCCTGTGTATACAAAAAAATCCAAAAAATTTAGTCAGGCGTGGTGGTGCACACCTGTAATCCCAGCTACTTGGGAGGCTGAGACATGACAATTGCTTGAACCTGGGAGGCAGAGGTTGCAGTGTGCCGAGATTGTGCCACTGCACTCCAGCCTGAGTAAGAAAGGGAGACTCTGTCTCAAAAATAAATGAATAAATAAATCTCATCGGCCGGGCGTGGTGGCTCATGCCTGTAATCCAAGCACTTTGGAGGCCAAGGTGGGCAGATCCCCTGAGGTCGGGAGTTCAAGACCAGCCTGACCAACATGGTGAAACCCCGTCTTAGAAAAATAAATAAATAAATAAACCTCCCTTCTCAGAGATTTATTCCTTGACCATCTCATATAAGTAGTCTCCCTGGTAATGTACTCTATCCTTACAACCTGTTAACCTTTCATAATTACTATAACTTAGTATTTCATAATGTTTTGTTTATTGTATAATTTTCCTATAGTCAGTAAGCGCCAAGAGGGAAAAGACTACGCCTGTTCCGGTTCTAACTGTACACCCAACGCCCAAAGCCTGACATACATAGCTGGCACTCAATATTAGTAGAACAAACGAATTAAGAATCAGTGGGCGGGGCAATGGGCTTGTCAGGGGAGTGGCCTCCATAGAGGCGGAGTCTCCCCCCCCACCCGCCGACAGGGACCGGAAGCTTGGGCGGGACTGTTCACGCCTTGGGGCGGGGCTAGGTAGGCGGCGACTTCGCGGGCAGAATTGGGGCTCATTTTCCCTCTCCCCTAGCAGTTCCTCCCCCAGAACCCTAGCTCACCCAAAGGCACCTCTCCCCACCACTCGGATCCGCTCGTACTTCTCCATCTCATTTCTTAGAGTTTCACTTCCGTCCCCCACGCGGCGCGTGCGCGGACCTGCCCACTCTGGGCCCCGCCCCTTCGCGGTGAGCGGCTTGCGGGGCGGAGCCAGCGCGCTAAGCGTGAGTTCAGCCCAGCGTCGGTGTTCGTGGGCGTGTACCGCACCTGCAGCTGCGACACGCCGTCACTTTTCTCCTCACGACCCTGCCCCACGCAGGGTCTAAGGAATAGGGCAAGAAAATAGGGCGTGCCCCGCACGGTATCCGCCCCTCCCACACACATACCCAGCCTTTGTAAAGCTTGTTAGACTAAAAGGAAGTCGCGCTCCCGAGAGGTGGACCCCACAGGCCGGGCGGGGATGGGAAGCGAGGGTTAGCCCCGTCTGCCCAGGAGTGAAGCTGTTTCAGGAGAAAGCGGATTCTCCTTGGCACGCAAACGATAAACACTACCAAAACGACCGAGACCAGCGCTCCCGGCAGAAAGCAGCAGAGCTAGTTTCGTGTTTGCCTAGGGAGGGACAGGGGAAATCCCGAGCTGTGTAAGTTGATTCACCTGGGGAGGACGTGACACGGTCTCAGGCCATCCCGACTAGTGAACACCGCGCTCGTCAGCACTCTCAACTCCTCCTTCACACACGCGCGCTGCAGGAGGGTAATTTGCCTTCAGTGCTCATCTAGCGTGAACCCCCACGGGGCAAGACGGGGCGGAGGTGGATTACTACCTGAAAACATCGGGGTAGAAGGAAAGACCGCGGTTTCCCCGGGATGAGTTCAAGGCAGAAGCCCAGAGGCAGGGGGCTGGTTAGCGTGCCCAGCGAGGCTCTTGACCGGAAGTGAGGCTAATTCCAGGTTGTCCCTGGCTCCTGTTCTGCGGGAGCTCTTTTTTTTTTTTTGAGACGGAGTTTGGTTCTTGTTACCCAGGCTGGAGTGCAATGGCGCGATCTCGGCTCACCGCAACCTCCGCCTCCTTGGTTCAGACAATTCTCCTGCCTCAGCCTCCTGAGTAGCTGGGATTACAGGCACGCGCCGCCATGTCCAGCTAATTTTTTGTATTTTTAGTAGAGACGGGGTTTCACCATGTTGACCAGGATGGTCTCGATCTTTTGATCTCGTGATCCACCCGCCTCGGCCTCCCAAAGTGCTGGGTTTACAGGCTTGAGCCACCGCGCCCGGCCGGGAGCTCTTTAAAAATTTAGTATTCGGCCGGGCGCGGTGGCTCACGCCTGTAATCCCAGCACTTTGGGAGGCCGAGGTGGGCAGATCACCTGAGGTCCGGAGTTCGAAACCAGACTAGCCAACATGGAGAAACCCCATCTCTATTAAAAAAAAAAAAAAAAAAAAAAAAAAGTAGGGCCGGGCGCGGTGGCTCGCGCCTGTAATCCCAACACTTTGGGAGGCCGAGGCGGGTGGATCACGAGGTCAAGAGATCGAGACCATCCTGGTCAACATGGTGAAACCCCGTCTCTACTAAAAATACAAAAAATTAGCTGGGCATGGTGGCACATGCCTGTAATCCCAGCTACTCGGGAGGCTGAGGCAGGAGAACTGCCTGAACCCAGGGGGCGGAGGTTGCGGTGAGCCGAGATCGCGCCATTGCACTCCAGCCTGGGTAACAAGAGCAAAACTCCGTCTCAAGAAAAAATAAAAATAAAAACGTAGTATTCGACTGGGCGCGGTGGCTCACGCCTGTAATCCCAGTACTATGGGAGGCCTAGGCAGGTGGATTACCTAAGGTTAGGAGTTTAAGACCGACATGGTGTTCCTGGCCAACATGGTGAAACCTCATCTCTACTAAAAATACAAAAATTAGTTGGGCCTGGTGGCGCGTGCCTGTAATCCCAGGTACTCGGGAGGCTGAGGCAGGAAAATCGCTTGAACCCAGGAGGCGGAGATTGCAGTGAGCAGAGATCGCGCCATTGCACACTCCAGCCTGGGCGACAGACGAAAACTCCATTTCTCTCTTTTTTTTAGACGGAGTCTCCCTCTGTCGCCAGGCTGGAGTGCAATGACGCTATCTTGGCTCACTGCAACCTCCGGCTCCCGGGTTCAAGCCGTTCTCGTGCCTGAGCCTCTCGAGTAGCAGCTTACACTATAGGTGCACGTCGCCATATCCAACTAATTTTTGTTTTTAGTAGAGACGGGGTTTCACTATGTTGGCCAGGATGATCTCGATCTCTTAACCTCGTGATCTGCCCACTTCGGCCTCCCAAAGTGTTGGGATTACAAGCGTGAGCCACCTTGCCCGGCTGAAACTCCGTCTCAAAAACAAAAACAAAAACAAAACCCTCAGTATTCAGGAGGAGGATGGTCATTAGCTGAGGATTAGAGTCCCTATGTTAGAGTGGGCTCTAATCCTACGTTAGAGGATTGTGAGGAAAGGGACGTTTTATCTTCTGCTCCATCCCTGGCCCTCGCAAGGGTACCGAACCCGGACACGTGGAATGACCGCTGGAAGGGCGCTGGCTCAGGCCGGTGTCGGCCCGCGGACAGAGCAGCCTGTGAGCCAAGTGGCGGGGCGGAAAAGCTGCTCACCCGGGACGCCAGTGCTCTCACCTAGAAACCGACTGGGCCTTGGTTGACCTAGAAGTCCCACAGTGGTTAATGTGTAACCTTGGAGCCATAAGGAGAGGCAAACACTCAAAACGATTGGTCCCTGGGTCCTTACGCTTCAGGTTTTTAGCTTCTTCCTCCCTCCGCAGCACACCCGCTTTTCCCCTCCCCTCCTCTATTACCACCTTCTTCTCCCTCTGTGCCCCGACCCCCACTTCACTTCCCTCGCTGGCTCCTAGCTGCTCCTCTTTTCGCCCAGACCACCTACTTTTCCCTCAAAGCAGCTGTTTCGCTCGGAGGCGGGAGGGGAAGCCCGCACCACAGTGAGGTCAGGCTGACACCTAGTGGCCAGGAGCTGGAACTGCTGCAGGGCCACCGGCCTGGAGAGCGAGGGTCACCCCAGCAGTCCCGGCAAATCCGCGGTCTTGCCTGCCCAGACTCTGGGGAGCCAGGCCGAGGGCCGGGACTGTCTGAGGGAGGACTGTGACAGCCGCTCTGCCCTAGGAGCTTAAGAGCGGGGGTGGAGAGGTGGCGATGGGTTACTCAGCAATTCCCAAGTGCCCACCCTTGCGGGCGCGGGAGGGACGGGTAAACACGGGTCTCCGGCTAGAAGACTGCGAGTGGTGCGGTGCGGGGAACTGGGTCTGCGAGGAGACCTCTGTCGAAAGCTGGGCTCCCGAGCCCACCCCAGGACCGGGACTTAGGGGGCGTGGGCGTGCCGGGTTCAGTCCAGCTCTGCCCAGAAAGTGGAGAGAGCTCTCGCGGTACCCGCCCAGGGCGGGGGAGCCGGTGGCCCCGGGGAAAGTGGGGACGCGGGTTAATGAGGCCACGCGAGCGAGGGCAGCGGGGACGCCGTCGGCAGTCGGGAGGCGCCAGAGAGGGGTGCCTCGGCAGCGCTCCCCCAGCTCAGGTTCCAGTCGCCCGAAGTCCGCGGGAGCCCAGCGGGGGCCGGGCAGCTGGGTGTATAACCCGCTAGCGCGGCCGCGGCGCCTAAGGGGCGGAGGCAGGCGGGAGGGGCGGGGGCAGAGGCCTCGCGGGGAGGACGGGGAGGAGCCAAGGGGCCTAGAGGGCTCCGCCGAAACTGTGCGGGGCTGGCTGCCGGCGGGAGAGACGGCTGTGCTGGACCGGGTCGAGAGGGATCCCGGTTCCCAGAACAGCCCTAGGAGGCGGCCTCGAGGGCGGACGGGTGGACAGCAGGGAGGGCCAGCATGCCCCCACTGCTGCACCCCGCCCTGCCGCTGCTCTTGGGCGCCACGCTGACCTTCCGGGTGCTCCGGCGCGCGCTCTGTCGCCTGCCCCTACCCGTACAAGTGCGCGCCGACCCCCTGCGCACCTGGCGCTGGCACAACCTGCTCGTCTCCTTCGCTCACTCCATTGTGTCGGGGATCTGGGCGCTGCTGTGGTGAGTGAGCGACTGTGGGAATGAGGTGGCCGGGAATCCTGAGCGGGCAGTTGGGGCCGTCTCTTCTGTTTCTACCCCCATCGCTCACTGGACTGAGGCCACGCATTCTCACCTGATCCCGTTTGGTATCCTATCCAACCAGAAGCCGCTGTGGCCGCAGGGGAGGGGGATTGCACCTGGGAAACTCGAGGTACTTGGGTTTTGCCCAGCCACTCCTAGCTTCTCAGTCAGCCACTAGCGCGAGCCGACTCCCCCGGGACTGGCAAGGATAACCGGAAAGGTGAGCCTTTCTTCCCTCCCTTACAGTGTATGGCAGACCCCCGAAATGTTGGTGGAGATTGAGACAGCATGGTCGCTCTCTGGCTATTTGCTCGTTTGCTTCTCTGCAGGTAGGTCTTGCCCAGGAAGCAGAAAGCTAGTTGGGGACAGGAAGCTGCTTGTTCAGTCGCTCGTAACCTATTGTCTCATCCCTCTATTAGGGTATTTCATCCACGACACGGTGGACATCGTGGCTAGCGGTCAGGCTAGAGCCTCTTGGGAATACCTTGTTCATCACATCATGGTAAGAGAAGCAGGCTATGTGGAATAGGCCTCGCGCCAGTAACCGCGTTTCTGAACCTGGGAGGCGGCCTATTTTAACACCCCACCCCCACCCCCTGCAACCTGTGTGCTACTTCTTATGCTAGGATGCTGGAGGTTGGCAGTCTGTGTGTTTATTCACTGAGGCCAGCAACCCATGGCCTCACTGGCTCCTTAGACTGGAGACACCATCCACAACCAGAAGCTGTGAGCAGGGACCAAGATCTTAACGATGTTGAATGAACAGAACCAAGCATCTTATTCTCTACAATTATTCCAGAAGGAAAAAATTCAGGATTTTCCAGCCCTCCACCTTATGTCCTCCACCAACTTACAGGAAAGCATTTGCATCTGGGTTCCCTAACTCTTATTTTTTTCCTCTAGGCCATGGGTGCCTTCTTCTCTGGCATCTTTTGGAACAGTTTTGTCGGTGGGGGTGTCTTAACGCTACTGGTGGAAGTCAGCAACATCTTCCTCACCATCCGCATGATGATGAAAATCAGTAACACCCAGGATCATCTCCTTTATCAGGTTAACAAGTATGTGAACCTGGTCATGTACTTTCTCTTCCGCCTGGCCCCTCAGGCCTACCTCACCCATTTCTTCTTACGTTATGTGGGCCAGAGGACCCTGGGCACCTTCCTACTGGCTGTCCTGCTCATGTTGGACATGATGATCCTAATCTACTTTTCCCGCCTCCTCCGCTCCGACTTCTGCCCTGAGCGTGTCCCCAGGCAGCAACACAAAGACAAGTTTTTGACTGAGTGAGGCACAGAGCCTGGGACAGCAAACATGGACAAGAACAGAAAGCCTCACATGGAAACTGGGACTTAGCCCCAAGCTCGGGTGTCCTCTGGGGCAAGCCTCTCTACCTTCGGAGCCTGCGCCCACACTATTGAAAACACTAATGAAAGCACTCCTCTGAAGTCCTTGTCCTTTATTGGGCAAGGGGTGAGGGAAGCAGACAGACCGGTTGGACATAGTAGATGGGTGTGTGAGGACAAAATGCTACTCGAAAGCCAGCCAACCCACACTCCCCTGAAATGGATGCTAACGTGCTTCAAACTCTGGGCACTGGTTTCACACACAGCCTCTTCGAGGGATGAAAGGGGTTCTTGTAAAGTTTTTTGTTACCCTCAACCAGGGAGGCAAGCTCTGAGTTCTGGTTTTCCTAGGACACTAATGCTAGTCACAAAGATCTCTGGAGTGATCAAGGATGGAGGAGTGGCAGGGTGAGTTTCAAAAAGGTTAAGCAGGAGTCTTGCCCAAGCAGTGGGCAAGTTACAACAACAGTTCCTGTGTATGGCCTCCCACCCAACCAGAAACTGACAGAGGCATATATATGGTGAAAAGATATACATATATTTAGAATTAGCCAGCTGGACTGTTTAGATGATCCCAATCTGAAAAACAAAAAGGAGCCTCGTTACTGGAGTTGAAACATGAAGATTAAACTGGAATTTTTAGAAAGCAAAATGAGGAACATGAGGGTAAGGCTTAAGGATACAAGTGAAGTCAGTTAATTATAACTAATCAGCGAAAGCCAGGCTTTGGTCACTAGCATATGCATCATTTGCACCCAGGGATGAGCATTAAGGAGTTTGTAGGAAGGAAACTTACTTTGTTTGCAACATCCAAAGCATCGTAATCAGGAGCCAGTCGAACATATGCCTTCTTCTCTCCATCAGGCCTGGGGCAGAGAAGGAAGCCTTAATCCCAGCTGCCTTCACTGCTCACACACCCTCCCCCACTTCCTCCCCCAGTCCTCTGGCACTTCAGCGGTTCCTTTGTTCATGTCATTCCTTTCCAGTGATTTTTCCATCATTAGCCCAGAGGACATTATGAAGCTACAAAGCCAATTCTCTTAAGGGGAACACCACAGGCCAAGTTGAAACTTAAACCAAGGTAATTTGCAAGAAACTGTCTCATTCTAGTGGCTCCAGAAAATGAGCACCAATGAACCCCACAATTAAGTCCTAGAAAGCGTTTCCTGAGGTCCTTACAAGGGTCTGTGATTACAGCAGTCTATAATTCCTGCCTCAAGGCTCACACACTGGGAAACCTACTTCTGACTCCAAGTGTAAATCAAGGAAACTTTTCCCCCTGCTAAAAGGTCCAGGGGAATTTTTTTTTTTTTGAAAGGGTCTTGCTTGATTGCTTAGGCTAGAGTATAATGGGACAATTATACTCTAATTGCAGTGGGTCACTGCAGTCTCAAACTGGACTCAAGCGATCCTCCTGCATAGCAGGGACTATAAACATCAAGGAAAGCTTATGAACCACAGGATTTCTGGCTGCAGACTGCTGGTCCAGCTCACTCCATATCCCTCGAGGCCCAACTCACCGAATCAGGGTGTTGACCTTGGCCACATCAATGTCATAGAGCTTCTTCACAGCCTGTTTGATCTGGTGCTTGTTGGCTTTAACATCCACAATGAACACAAGTGTGTTGTTGTCTTCTATCTTCTTCATGGCAGACTCAGTGGTCAGTGGAAACTTGATGATCGCATAGTGGTCAAGTCTGGGAGAGAGACAAAATGGGGTCACCTGGCCCGCACCCAATAGAAAGATGGGCCCTCTTTTGTAGTCCAGAGAGAGGAAAGCCTAGGTGCATCAGACAATGAAGTACCAATCATTTTGTTCAGACTTTGGTCGCTTTACAGTGTCATCATCTGCACCCTGAAATCTAAGGGCCTGAAGCCTCAACCCCAGGGGCAGAACATGGTGCATTTTCTTTCTCTTGAAGGGCTCTTACTCCTCAAGTGATTTAAGAATCATCTGACCAGGCACAATGGCTCATGCCTGTAATCCCAGCACTTTGGGAAGCCGAGGTGAACAAATCACAAGGTCAAGAAATCAAGACCATCCTGGTCAACATGGTGAAACCCTGTCTCTACTTAAAATACAAACATTAGCTGGGTGTGGTCGAGTGTGCTTGTAGTCCCAGCTAATTTGGGAGGCCAAGGCAGGAGAATCGCTTGAACCCGGGAGGCAGAGGTTGCAGTGCACTCCAGCTTAATAACATGGCTAGTCTCCAGTAAATAAATCATCTATTTGGTAGAGTTCCACTCTGCTGGTTCACTTTGAGGCTGACTCATGCATTTCTGTCCCTTTTGGTTGCTGAAAACTGGCCCTATGATCAAGGGGCACCAATTCTTGAAATAAAGTTTTTTTTTTGAGATGAATTTGTCGCCCAGGCTGGAGTGCAGTGACACAATCTCGGCTTAGTGCAACCTCCGTGTGAGCGCCACCACACCCAGCTAATTTTATTTTTAATACAGACAGGGTTTCACCACATTGGCCAAGCTGGTCTCGAACAACTCCTGTCCTCATGATCTACCTGCCTTGGCCTCCCAAACTGCTGGGATTACAGGTGTGAGCCACCACCTCCATTCCTCAAGAGCAAATTCTTATGTACAGCTGAGCACAACTATAATACACCCTTCCCCACTAAAAGTCAGCAGCAGGCTGTTTCCTCAGACACTACTTTCCTGGTCTGAAACCAGGTCAGGCCTAAACTTCACCACACTAAATTCTAGGTCCAACTTGGTGGGGGAGGGGCAGGAAGACAGTCTGTGAACTGCTTTCCTGTATGAACACAATCCACTTTTTTTTTTTTTTTTTTGAGACAGAGTTTCACTCTTGTTGCCCAGGCTGGAGTGCAATGGCATGATCTCGGCTCACTGCAACCTCTGCCTCCCGGGTTCAAGCAATTCTCCTGCCTCAGCCTTCTGAGCAGTTGGGATTACAGGAATGCACCACCACACCCAGCTAATTTTGTAGTTTTAGTAGAGACGGGGTTTCACCATGTTGGTTAGGCTGGTTTGGAACTCCCGACCTCAGATCATCTGCCTGCCTCAGTCTCCTAAAGTTCTGAGATTACAGGCATGAGCCACCATGCCCGGCTTTTTCTTTTCTCATTCTTTCTCTTAGGAAAGAGCAGAAACAGCAAAAACCCATTGGTAGTAACTACTACCAATGCTCTACTCAAATCTGTGGTCGCTAAAAAGTCAGTTATTACTGGTAGCTCAAATACTGAAGTGTCCAACTTTTTGCTCATTTTCCCCTAACCATTCCTTCAGCAGTATGAAAACTTGGGAAAATGAATGGAACAAAGCTTCTATACACCACTGCAGGCCATCACTGCAACATATAGATGATGGAATCCCCATTATCAATAAAGAATCAACCCACATTCTCACCGTCAAGAACTGTTCCCTATAGCAGCTGGAGCTATGAGCAAGGAATCTCTGTAATTCTACTTTATACTCACCCCAAAATAGTTTACAAATCGTGACCAGATGTGAAGCAATAATTAACCTACCAGAAACTTTGAAAGACTCTGTTTTTTTTGACAGAGCTTCACTCTTGTTGCCCAGTCTGGTGTACAATGGAACGATCTCTGCTCACCACAACCTCTGCCTCCCCAGTTCAAGGTGGCACAAGCCACCCCACCCTGTTAATTTTGTATTTTTAGTAGAAACTAGGTTTCTCCATGTTGGTCAGGCTGGTCTCAAACTCCTGACCTCAGGTGATCCACCCTTCTCGGCCTTCCAAAGTGCTGGGATTACAGACGTTGAGCCACCGCGCCGGGCCACTGAGCTGATGCAATAAGAATTCCTGCCAGCATTGTAAATGGGGCAGAAACAATATCCTTACACTGCCAATTAGAGAAGCACACTGGGCCGGGCACGACTCACGTCTGTAATCCCAGCACTTTGGGAGGCCAAGGCGGGCAGATCACGAGACCATCCTGGCCAACATGGTGAAACCTCATCTCTATTTAAAATAAAAAAAGAGAAGCACACTGTACACAACTTGTGTCTGAGAAGCCACCACACAGAGTCAGTCAATTTCCCAATATACCAATGGAGGATACCCAAATCTTTTCATGGGTAATGGGGCAGTACTGACTTGTTTCTCCTGGGGGCGCTCTTCCGAGGATATTTGGGCTGCCTTCGGAGTCGCAGTGTCTTGGGCCGCCGGAAGGTGGGTGACGTGCGGATCTTCTTTTTTTTGTGGCTGTGGACACCTTTCAACACTGCCTTCTTGGCCTTTAAAGCCTTCGCTTTGGCTTCGGCTTTAGGAGGGGCAGGAGCTGGGAGAGAAGAAAAGAAAATGAGAGTGAGGAATTAAAAAATAGGCCACTTCCGGCCTCAAGAACTACAGTGGGCGACCCTGGCCACATGTGCATCAGCGGTTCCTTTGCAGACATCACAAGTGTCAGGAAATTAAAATTTTTCCATCATATGCACGATACCAGAGGCAAAGTCACCAACTCGCAGCTCCAGGAATACGACTAAGAAACAAAGTAGTAATGAACGAAAGCTTGATCACTTTCCAGAACATGTCCTACGAATTTTACACATACCCCATCGCAAAACCACGCGGAGAAGGCGGGTAATGTAGCCCGGTCAAACGTGAACCAGAAGGAAAATGAGTAAAGCTGAGGGCACTAATTCCTTACAGGCCCGGGGACATGGAGCGCCAGCTTGTGGATGCGTACAGCTTCCCAGAGCCGACTATCTGGCTCTCCCTGTCGGGTGATAATGCCGGTGGGGTGACCTCCCCAACTCTCTCCACAGGAACTCAGCCCATGAGGCTGGGCACAAGCGGCCCACGTATACTGCGTGTCCGAAACGCCGGGAGCAGCTTCGGAGCACAGCCCTCAGGGCTTAGTCCAGCTGCCATACTCCCAATTCGTTCGCTCTGCGGCGCGACGATCCCCGGTAAACCAACAGCGGCCCCCATTCTCAGCACATACCTTCCTTCTTCGCTTTCGGCGCCATCTTGTAAAAAGGGTCTCCGATGCCCGTTCCCACGGGCTTATAGCGCCAAATCGCACCAAAGACTCGCGATGCTTTGTACTTAGAGCTGACTGGCTAATTTGCAGACTGGCGCCTTCTGGGAGCGGTAGTTAGGTGTAATTTCTTTTTCAAGCGTGAACTAGCATGCACCACTCCTCCCCTCAAAGGCACTAAAGCTTCATGGGAGTTGTAGTTTTTTGAAGACACGCGTTTATTTGCTCAGGCTAGTGGCCCGCGTAGCCGGGTGTCGCTCGGGTCTGGTCCCAGGAGCTTACCATCTTGATCAACTGCCAGTCTCAGGGAAGAGGATTGCCACGCCAGGAGACAGGAAAGCTGCCAAGCGGAAAGAACACATTTAGATTGACTCGAGAGTTAGATACAGCTAAGTTCTAGAGTGCTGGAGCAGGATTTGCTCAGTCGAATGCCCTCAGCCAGCATCTGTGGAAACTTGAGGTCCAGAGAGGAATGTGATTAATCGATAACACAGTGATTTGGTGGCAGAAAAAAAATCAAGTCAGGGCCGGGTGCGGTGGCTCACGCCTGTAATCTCGGCACTTTGTAAGGCCGAGGTGGGCGAATTGCTTCGAGCCCAGGAGTTCGAGACCAGCCTAGGCAACATGGTGAAACTTCATCTCTACAAAAAAATACAAAAATTACCCGGGCATGGTGGTGTGTGCCTGTAGTCCCAGTTCCTTGAGAGATTGGGGTGGAAGGATCTCTTGAGCCCAGAAGGTCGAGGCTGCAGTGAGCCATTCCAGCCTGGGTGGCAGAGTGAGACCCTGTCTCAAAAAAAAAAAAAAATCGAGTCACGAGGGGGACAAATGTCAGAAGTACAAGGAGGCCACACCTGCCCCTCTTCACCTGTCACACTGGCACTCAGTTTTCCTGCATTTCCGATAATGCTCTTGAAGTTCTACGAAAATTCCACACATTTCTCCAAGATTCGCTAGTTCTTCCTGTGAGTAACTTCACTCACAGTCCCCTACCCTAAACTAGTCTTCCCTTCCATGTCCGGGTCATCTTTACATGCTCAAATTCAGCTCCAGACACAGGACAAGGTTTCATAACACTCATGTTTGCTTCTGAGGTGTATGCCAAACCCATCCCCCTTGATCCTTTCTGTCATCCCTCTCCCCTCATAAATCCAGAGACATCCCCTTTGACGGTGAAATTCATTGTGCACTACCCCGTCTTCTATCCGGCAGGACTTTGCAAAGAGAAGTTGTCCTTGGGGGGTAAAGATTCCAATGGGGTCAGTACAATGAACACCCACACCGGAGGGGAGTACCCACCTCCCAGAGCGGAGAGCACCCCAAAGAGCGGAGTTTCCTGATCCACTTGGCCCTTCTTTATCCTCTGTTGAGGGAAGCAGCTTGATCTTCAGCCCTTCCACCTCCCAATCTCCACAGCAGCCTTGAAGGAGAAGATGCCAGATTTCAGACGTCTCTCTCCTCGGTGGGCACCTTATTCTAACCCTGGCAACCCCTTCAAACGCTTCCCCCCTCCCACATCCCAGGGCAGAAGGGCAAACGGGGCAGACTCTGTGAGTCACCTCCTGGGCCTGGAGTTGAGGAGAGAAGCGCCGCCTCTCCTTGGGCCCCTTCTCTCCCCCTTTCCCCTCCCCGCGGGTTCCTGGCATCGCCAGATGCTACGCAGCAGTCTCCGATTCCCCATCACTAATTCAGCTGGGTAAGGTCCCCATGAAGGCGCAGCCCGGCTTAGAAGTGCAGGGGCGAGGAGGCTGGGGAGTTCCTATCTGGATAGGCTCCAGCCTGGCTGGGGGCGGTCCCGGTGCCCGGTGAGGCGTCAGGCGAGGGAGCCTGAGCTGGGCAGCGCAGAGGGGAGGAGAGGAGAGGGAGGCGAGGGCGGGCTGCGAGACCCGCAGCGGCCAGGAGAGGGGCAGGGGGCGGCCTTTCTCCAGGAATTTCCGGGGATCGTGTTACAGCGTTCGCGCAGCCAGAGCGGAGTGGGACGCGAGGCCCTGCAGCCAGACTGGGCCCCTCGCCCCCTCCTCCAGCGGCCTGCGGGCCTTGGCAGCGCCGCCCCTGCGCACACTGACCCCGTGTGGCGGGGCCGCTCTGCGCCCCGGGCCGTTCTGTTATGGTAGGGTCGCCTCAGTCCCGAGATGACGTCGGGTCTCAGCGGCCCCGGGTTATTGTAGGCACTGTCCGGCCCCGCGTAATCGTAGGGTCTGCGCGGGCTCGGCCCCCATCAGACGGGACTCCCCGTCCCCAATTGGCGGCTGAGGAGTCTCCCCGCCCCAGAGTCATCTTCGGGACGCCCAGGGCCCGAGTGATTGTGGGCTCGCCCCGGCCCGGGGTGATTGTTTCATCTCCGTGGCCCGCGGTGGTCGTAGCGTCTCCGAGACCGCGGGCTCCTGTTGGGTCTCCGTGGCCCCGAGTTATAGTCGGGACACCCCGGCCACGGGTGATCGTCGGGTCTCCACGCGCTCGGGTCGCTGGCGCGGATCTGGCCTCGGCTCCTTCTCAAGGCGCCCCGCAAGGCCGCAGGCAGGATGAACATTCTGGCTCCAGTGCGGAGGGACCGCGTCCTGGCGGAGCTGCCCCAGGTAGGCGCCAGGGCCACGTCAGGCTTCTGTCTACAGCCCAGGGTGTGGGCGAGGAGGAGGAGGCGGCACCTGACGAGTTAGAGGACTGGGCCCAGCCCTGCCACCCAGCTAGGCCTGCTGCTTCTGGGTGGTCCCTGCACTCCACCCCTACCCGGGCTGCTTGGCTGTGGGAAAGGGCCAGGAGCCGGAAGCTACATTCTCTATCATCCCTCCCACTAAGTGCCTGAGGAAGGAGGCCGCTTTGCACGTGCACAAAGACTTCCACCCTCGCGTCACCTGCGCCTGCCAGGAGCACCGGACAGGCACCGTGGGGTGAGTTAGGGACACCCATAACAAAGAGAGGAGGTCCCAGGAAACTAGCCTTAGCAAGGGTAAACAACCTCCTTCTTGGGGCTTCATTTCAGCCCCTACCAGCTATATGGTTATTTCCCCTCTTTAAGCCGCTGTGTTCTCTCCTCTCTTTCCAACAAGGTTGTGAGTTCTTTGAGATGGGGTGGGGTAAAGGGTGGCAGCTGGATTCCTGAGTAGAGACTAAGGTGTCTGAGATGGGAAGGTGGTCACCTGCTCAGATCCCCACATAGCATCCATGGAGCCCCAGGGCAGGGATCTTGCTGTGCTTACAGGGATGAGTCTTATTGTGGGTTTTAAAGGTAATACTGATAACAGTTGCCATCATTAACTGAGCATTTGCTGTGTGCCAGGCTGTGTTGGGTACTATCATTATCTTTATTGAATGTAAAAGACCATCACTTAAGATATATTCAGATTTCAGAGATGTTAAAATGGTGGGGGAGGGTGTCTTAGAATATAGGACATTTATCTCATTTTAACCTTCACAACTACCCAATAAAATATATACTAACTTCACTTAAGTGTTGAAACTGAGGCTTAGGGAGGCTAAATAATGTGTCCAAAGTCACACACCTAGTAAGTGTGAGAGCTGAGATTCAAATTCATGTCTCTCTGATGCTGGAGCATAAAACACTCCTCCTCCCTAGCACATCTGTCCAGGCAGCTGCCTGGGACACCTGGTGTCTATAAGTCCCTCAGCTTAGGTGCAGCTACCGTCGTGGACCTAGTCGGGAGCACTGGAACGCCCTAGGGTGAAAGAGCTTTTGCCCACTCCCCTTGCCCACTCTTGTGTCCAGCAGATTTAAGATCTCCAAGGTCATTGTGGTGGGGGACCTGTCAGTGGGGAAGACTTGCCTCATTAATAGGTAAGGGGGTGCTGGAGCTGAACTGGGCAGGGTGGGGCTGAACAGCCCAGGTGGGCTGACTCCAGATTGGAGCATCTGGTAACCTCTCAGGTTCTGCAAAGACATCTTTGATAAGAATTATAAGGCCACCATTGGAGTGGACTTCGAGATGGAACGATTTGAGGTGCTGGGCGTCCCCTTCAGTTTGCAGCTGTGAGTGCTTCCATACCCCTTCCAGCCATCCCTTCCCTCAGCACCCACACCCCCCAGCACACACCTGTGCTTTACTCCTTCTTTCTCCCAGTTGGGATACCGCTGGACAGGAGAGGTTCAAATGCATTGCATCAACCTACTACCGAGGAGCTCAAGGTAAGCGGCTGGGTGAAGTGGGGTAGGCGGGTCTCAGAGTGTACATGGCTTCTCATCTAGAGCTGGAATGATTGGGGAAATGAGCCAGTAGTGGCTTCCCTGTCAACCTGGGGCTGTTTCTGCCACTCTTGCAGCCATCATCATTGTCTTCAACCTGAATGATGTGGCATCTCTGGAACATACCAAGTATGTGAGCATCCTGCAATATAATGGGAGGTTCCAGGAAGAGAGGGTTCAGAACAGAGGGGTGGTCGGGAAGAAGAATGCATATAGGACCAGAGAGGGGGTCACTGGACATATGAATATCAGCGGGAGGGGCCCAGCAGGCTCACTCCTCCCTCACTTTCCACCACCCATGGCAGACAGTGGCTGGCTGATGCCCTGAAGGAGAATGACCCTTCCAGTGTGCTTCTCTTCCTCGTAGGTTCCAAGAAGGACCTGAGTGTGAGTGTGCCAGTGGGGGGACTTCCCATTCTTGGTGAGGGAATGCCCCCCTCTGATTCTGACTTTCCCTCAGACCCCTGCTCAGTATGCACTGATGGAGAAAGACGCCCTCAAGGTGGCCCAGGAGATGAAGGCTGAGTACTGGGCAGTCTCATCTCTCACTGGTGAGTTGGAGGCTTCAGGCCTCTGCTGTGGCACTCCTGCCTGCCTCTCCTGTCACTGCTACACCTCCAGCTGTGCTCTATGCCCCAATTCCCAGCACTGTTCCTGAGCACCTATCTGCTGCTTGTGTCAGGTGAGAATGTCCGAGAATTCTTCTTCCGTGTGGCAGCACTGACCTTTGAGGCCAATGTCCTGGCTGAGCTGGAGAAATCAGGGGCCCGACGCATTGGGGATGTTGTCCGTGAGTGCCTGCCTGGTTGAGGGTGGCAGAGGGCACAGTGAGTCTCCGATCCTGCTTCACATATTTTCCATCCTTCTATAGGCATCAGCAGTAATGACAGCAACCTCTACCTAACTGCCGGCAAGAAGAAGCCCACATGTTGCCCATGAGAGGTTGAGGAGACTGTTCAGAGACTGCCCAGCCCTGGGGTACTGTGCCACCTTCATTCCCCCAGAGCTTGACCCCTGGACATTTGCACTGACTTTATCCAGACCAAAGAGCTGCCTCTTGGTGGCAATATCCCCAGAGGGGTAGCTGGGACCATGCTAGTCACTTCCTGCCCCCAGGCACCGTGCCAAAGACTGGATGCCCCCTACTCCTCAGGGGACTCTTCAGGGTGCCCAGCAGTAGAGGGGGAAAGTGTCCCCTGTTCTTTTGCTCAGCCTGCTGAACGCTTTGTGTATGAGAATGCCTAATGATTCCAGCCTCTCACTGTGCCTTTATGCATTAAAATTTCTTTCTTACGACACTTTAGGGGCTGGAGTTCTTTTTTGGGGATGAGGAATATGGAATGGGCACGACTGTATGGCCATCTTGGTACTGGACCCCCCGTGGGGATGCTATGCTGGCCACTATGGGCCCCTGGGAAGGTTCAGGTAGGCTGGGAGCTGAAAGTCAGTTTGGGGGCTGCACCAGGCCCTCACGGGGTGAGGTCTGAATGGCTGGCTTTGAGACCCCTTTCCCCTGATCCTTTCCCCACACATGCTTATACCCAAATTTTCACCACTGGGGAATCTTTTTCATTTTTTTCACCTTTTTCTTGCCTTCCCTTTAAGCAATACTTTTCCAGGCCATGCGTGGTGGCTCACGCCTGTAATCTCAGCACTTTGGGAGGCCAAGGCGGGTGGATAAGCAGGTCAGGAGATCAAGACCATCCTGGCCAACATGGTGAAACGGTGTCTCTACTAAAAATGCAAAAATTAGCTGGGCGTGGTGGCAGGCTTCTGTAATCCCAGCTATTCGGGATTTACAGGAGAATAGCTTGAATCAGGGAGTTGGAGGTTGCAGTGAGCTGAGATCGTGCCACTCCACTCTAGCCTGGTAACAGAGCGAGACTCCATCTCAAAAAAAAAAGGCTGGATGAGGTGGCTCACACCTGTAATCCCAGCACTTTGGGAGGCCAAGGCAGGTGGAACATGAGGTCAGGAGTTCAAGACCAGCCTGACGAAACCCTGTCTCTACAAAAAAATAAAAAAGAAAGACTTTTCCAGCCTGATTGGCGCAGTGGTTCTTGCTTGTTATCTCAGCACTTTGGGAGGCCAAGGCAGGTGGATCATTTGAATTCAGGAGTTCAAGACCATCCTGGCCAACAAGGTGAAACCCCATCTCTACTAAAAATACCAAAAAATTAGTTGGGTGTGGTGGCACACGCTTGTAGTCCCAGCTACTAGGAAGGCTGAGGCAGGAGAATTGCTTGAACCCAGGAAGCAGAGATTGCAGTGAGCCGCGATTGAGCCACTGCACTACAGCCTGGGCGACTGCAAGGCTGTGTCTCAAAAAAAAAAGGAAAAGGAAAAGAAATACTTTTCCAAAGGAAACAAAGAAGTGATTGAGTTTTGGATTTGTCGTTGTTGTGTTGTTTTTGTTGTTGAGGGGTTGACCACACAGTCCAGGGAGGATAGGGACCCTGGCTCTAATTCAGAAGGACCTGAGTTTGAATGTTTGAATCCTTGCTGTCCACTCAGTATGAGAATGCAGGCAAATCACTTATCCTCTGGGCCTCAATTTCCTCATCTGATAATACTGAGTTCATGAGGTCATAAGGATAAAATAAGATAAAGTACTAACATACACACATAAGATGAGCTCAAAAAACCTTCGTTATTATTATTTTTTTTGAGACAGAGTTTCACTCCTAGTTACCCAGGCTGGAGTGCAATGGCTCGATCTCTGCTCACCGCAACCTCTGCCTTCTGGGTTCAAGCAATTCTCCTGCCTCAGCCTCCCGAGTAGCTGGGATTACAGGCGTGCATCACCATGCCCAGCTAATTCTGTATTTTTAGTAGAGATGGGGTTTCACCTTGTTGACCAGGATGGTCTCGATCTCTTGACCTCGTGATCCACCCGCCTCGGCCTCCCAAAGTGCTGTGATTATAGGCGTGAGCCACCGCGCCCGGCCAATTTTTGTATTCTTAGTAGAGACGGGGTTTCACCAAATTGGCCAGGCTGGTCTTGAACTCCTGACCTCGTGATCCACCTGCCTGGGCCTCCCAAAGTGCTGAGATTACAGGTGTGAGCCACCTTGCCTGGCAAACCATTAACTATCATTTTTGTTTATCAACTTTTGTATGGGGAAGGGTGACCAAGACCCTGGCTCCTTGTTGACATCTGACCTGGAGTTCCAGAATAGCTGTAAGTACCTCAGACATCTGGGTCAACAAGGGAGGACTTATGGCCTTGTGTCATCCTGGGAGTCTAAGGAGGGTCCAGGTCAGAAGGCAGATTCTGGCTCCAAGTCGGCAAGTGCTCAGTTCCATGCCCGGTTCCATTCTCACCAGGATGGATGGCTTTTCTGGACACTTCCCGTCCTGGCTTCCCCTCCCTTGCAGTTCCTAGACTCCCTAGAGCTACCAAGGGAAGGAGGGGCTGGGCAGCAGCCCTACCCAATCTGGACTTGGGTCTGGAGGAAAATGAAGGTGGGGATCAGGCAGAGCAACAGCAGCAGCAGAGATGTGGATGATGGTGGAAAAAAACATGTGAAGTCCATCCTTTTCCCTCCTCTCCATCTTGACTTTGGAAGCTGGTGCAGAGAGAAATGGAGGGGTGTGAGGCATGGAATGTGGGTGATGTGGCGATAACTTCTTTTCACATTCTCGTCATCATTTTTTCCATGTCTGCTCCCTCGCAGCACTGTGCTCCTCACCCTTGCCTTGCCTGTTATCAGATGTGTTGTGTGTGAAGCCAGCACCACAGTCCAGGTGTGTGTGGTGTTTGTGCTGCACCGGGTGTGCGAGTTCTGTGTTCTGTGTGCATGCTGTATTAGTCTGTGTGTGGTTGAGTAGATTTTTTGTGTGCTGTGAGATATGTGCATGTGCAGAGTGTGTATGTTGTACCTGAGGGGATGAGGTTCCTATGAATGCAGCTGGCCCTGTTCTCGGGACAAGCTTACAGAGACAGAACGGAGTCTCTTTTTTTTTTGAAACTGAGTCCCGTTCTGCTGCCCAGGCTGGAGTGCCATGGCCAGGTCTTGGCTCACTGCAACCTCCGCCTCCTGGGTTCAAGTGATTTTCCTGCCTCAGCCTCCTGAGTAGCTTGGATTACAGGAATGCCCAACCACACCCAGCTACTTTTTTATATTTTTAGTAGGGACGGGGTTTCTCCGTGTTAGGCTGGTCTCGAATTCCTGACCTCAGGTGATCCACCCGCCTCGGCCTCCCAAAGTGTTGGGATTACACGCATAAGCCACCACGCCTGGCCTGAACCAACTCTCTAGCGGGCATTATTGTCTCTGGAACAGGGTGTCCCATAGGGGCCGGGGGCGGGGAACGCTGCGGGGTGGCGCTGGGGCTGGGAGCCCACATCAGGTTTTCACCCGGGGGTTAGGCTTTGGGAGAGGCCTGTGGACAAAGTGAGGGAAGCCCGACCTCCTCCGTAGACGGAGGGACCTCGAAACCAGGACCGTGGGGTGGAGATGGCGACGCCCGGAGGCCCTCGCTCGCCGGCGGGCAGAAGTGGGTGTGCCGCGGGGTTCCCGAGGGTCGGCGGGGCGGGGAGCGGGCGGGTATCAGGTTTCGAAATGCAAGCCTGGAGTCTGAAAGTCTGAAGTCCTGTTTGCCTCGGAAGATGTCTCCCACCCACTGCCTGCGTTCGCCATTGTCCCTGATCGCTTCCCTGGACTGGCCCCTCACCCAACCCTGCCATCTTAACTGTTCTTATGATAATGTAAATACCTCTCACTCGACCCTGCCATTGTAATCGAACTTGCGGTCATGTATACTCCTTGCCCCCTACCCCCCACCGCTGTAACTGATCTTACTCTGTAACACCCCCGCCCCCAAAAACTACCCAAACCTATAACACCAACTCCTTTCCCACTGCCCTTTGCTAATGCCCTTTTCGGCTTTAGCCCACCTGCACCCAAGTGAATAAACAGCCATGTTGCTCACACCAAGCCTGTTTGGAAGGTCTCTTGATCCAAAGCGCGCGGTTTTTCAAAAGCCGGAGTGTGCGGTTTAGAGAATGGCTGGGGCGGGGCTAAGAATGGGGCTGGGACAAGGATCGGTGTAAGGCTAACAGCTGGGGCTACGATCTGGAGGCAGGGTTAAAATCTGGGGTTTGGACTGCGATCTGGAACCAGGGATGGATGGTGAGCGCTGGGCCTGTAAAGCTAAGGTCTGCGATAAACGATAAGTTCTAGGGTTACGGGGAGAACAAAGAGGGGCCTGGGAGGTGCCGGGAGGCCCCGGATGAAGAACGCGGCTGACGCAGAGCCCCGGGCTGGGGAGACCACGCAGCTGGGGCGGGGCGGGGCGGGGCAGGCGGGCGGGGGCTGAGCCAGAATGAGTCGGAGTTTGGGCTAGGTGGGGTCGAAGCCTAGACTGGAGTTCATGGCTGGGCCAAGGGCTCGACCTGGCAGAGGCTCGGGGTTGGACTTCACAGAAGAGACCTGTGGAGACGAAAACTTCGGCGGAGAGTGATGTGGGTCAGAACTACGCTCACAACTGAAAGGTGGACTAAGGAAAAGACCGAGCCCAAGGCCCGCTCGTGGGATGTGAGACGGCGCCGCTGTAAGAGGGTCTGGGGCGTGGCGTGGCGCGGCTTGGCTCGTGTACCCCGGGGTGGTGCACGTGGGAGGCGGGGGCCCAGGGCTGAGCCGGGGGCGGGCTTGCGTCGAGCCGCGGGCCAATGATTGAGAGCTGGGGACCTGCGCCTTGCTGTGCCGCCTGTGGGTTGGGCTGGAAGTCTGGGCTGTCGGACTGGGAGGCACCGCGGGGTCCTACCCGCGGGCTCTGGCCGCTGCTTTTGAAGTGCGGGTCTTGGCTGGGGCCCATGGACTAGCGCCCACCCCGACGCCGGGGCGGGAGCGGGCCGTTCCATCGACCCTGAGGGTGGACCAAGGAATCTGGGGGTTCCACGCGTGACATCACAATTGCCTCTGTGGGGGCGAGGCCAGAGAGGCATTTCCTAGGAGACGCGGGCGCACTGCCCCTCCCTTGCTTCCCCCTTTTCCCTCTTTCCTAGTTTCTTCCGTCCCCTTTCTTCTTCCCTCCCTTCCCTCCCTACTCCTTTTGACTGCTCTGGTGCCCACCCCCTGTGCCTCAAGGGCGGGGAGAGCCCCTCGGCCCCGCAGGACACAGGGAGGATTCTGTACAGATGAGCATCACCTGTGAGTTTTGAGTTAGGCATCTGCGCGCCGATTAACATCTCGCAGGGAAAGAACACCATAAGCCTCCCACTTCCTTTCACCCTATCACCCTCCTCATTCATTGTGCAGTGTCAGTCACTCGCTGCAAGAGCTCTGGACTGCTGCTGGTCAGAGCTCTCCTGTCCTCTGGAACTAAAGAGCAGATTGCTTTTCTCACCTCTGAAGAGAGTTACTAAATTCATCTCCCCTTTTGCCCCTCCTCCCCTGGTCTCCTTTGGAGACACAGCTGATGGGTGTCTGAAGTCCTGGGGAGCTAGTCAGTGAAGAGTAAACAGGCTCTGACCCTGCATGTGCGCCTCTTTCATGGTGGCTCCTGAAAGAGCAAGGCAGAGTAGTTTTGGTTCCTCACCCTGGCTGGGGCCCCTGCGGCATTGGCAGTGTTGGGGCTGAGAAGCAGGTGTAGTAGGAAGTGATGACTGGAAGGACAGGTGTTTTTGTTGTTGTTTGTTTTGTTTTGAGACGCAGTCTCACTCTGTCGCCCAGGCTGGAGTGCAGTAGCACGATCTCCGCTCAGTGCAACTTGCAATTCCTGGGTTCAGGCGATTCATGCCTCAGCCTCCTGAGTAGCTGGGACTACGGGTGTGTGCCGCCACACCTGGCAAATTTTTTGATTTTGAGTAGAGACAGGACTTCATCATGTTGACTATGCTGGTCTCAAACTCCTGACCTCAAGTGACCCACCTGCCTCGGCCTCCCAAAGTTCTGGGATTATAGGCACGAGCCACTGCACCAGGCCTGTAAGGACAAGGTTTTGCATATGGAGATGAATGTGTTTTATTTTATTTTATTTATTAATTTTGAGATGGAGTTTCACTCTTGCTGCTCAGGCTGGAGTGCAGTGGCGCAATCAGAACTCACTACAACCTCCACCTCCTGGGTTCAAGCAGTTCTAACTGTCTCAGCCTCCTGAGCATCTGGGATTACAGGCACCTGCCACTGTGCCCGACTATTTTTAGTAGAGACGGGGTTTCACCATGTTGGCCAGGTTGGTCACAAACTCCTTCCTGAGTTCAGGCAGTCTGCCAGCCTCAGCCTCCCAAAGTGCTGGGATTACAGGTGTGAGCTACCGTGCCCGGCCAGTTTATTTTTTAAGACAGTCTCACTCTGTTGCCCAGGTTGGAGTGCTATGGCGTTCTCAGCTCACTGCAACCTCCACCTCGCCGGCTGACTCAAGCAGAATGTGGTTTTAAGGCTTGGCTATGGAGCTTCATATACAGAATGACCCTTTGTTTACAGTCATGTGTCCCCAGCCAACAGTAAGTAGGGCAGAAAGAGCATAGGCTATGGAACCAGGAAGACCTGGGTTTGAATCCTGCCTCTGCCATCTATTAACATACATCTTGGGACAAATTACTTATTCTGAGTGTCTGTGTTCTCATCCGTAGACTGGGGCTGTGGTGGAGATTTAGAATCAAAGGCATATATTTTAGTTGAGACAAGGTCTCACTCTTTTGCCCAGGCTGGAGTGCAATGATGCGATCATGGCTTACTGCAGCCTCTAATTCCCTGGGCTCAGGTGATCCTCCCACCAAAGCCTCCCAAGTAGTTGGGACTACAGGTGCACACCACTAGCCAGCTAGTATTTTTTTTTTTTTTTTTGAGACGGAGTTTCGCTCTTGTTACCCAGACTGGAGTGCAATGGCGCGATCTTGGCTCACCGCAACCTCCGCCTTCTGGGTTCAAGCAATTCTCCTGCCTCAGCCTCCCGAGTAGCTGGGACTACAGGTGTGCACCACCATGCCCAGCTAATTTTTGTATTTTTAGTAGAGACGGGGTTTCACCTTGTTGACCAGGATGGTCTCGATCTCTTGACCTCGTGATCCACCCGCCTCGGCCTCCCAAAGTGCTGGGATTATAGGCGTGAGCCACCTGGCCTCAGCTAATATTTTTTTGCAGCGATGGGGTTTTGCCATGTTGCCCAGGTTGGTCTCGTGGCTCGTGATCTTCCCGCCTCAGACTCCCAAAATGATGGGATTACAGATTTATGTAATTTCTTTTCTTTCTTTTTTTTTTTTTTTTTGAGACAGAGTCTCACTCTGTTGCCAGGCTCCAGGCTGGAGTGCAGTGGCAGAATCTCAGCTCACTGCAACCTCTGCCTCCTGGGTACAAGCAATTCTCCTGCCTCAGCCTCCCGAGTAGCTGGGACTACAGGCATACGACCACCACGCCCAGTTAATTTTTGTATTTTTAGTAGAGATGAGGTTTCACCATGTTGGCCAGGATGGTCTCGATCTCTTGACCTTGTGATCCACCCGCCTTGGCCTCCCAAAGCGCTGGGATTACAGGGTTGAGCCATCGCGCCTGGCTGATTTATGTAATTTCATTGGTGGATGTTGGAAACATGGAATTTGATGAAATTATCCAGGATATGCTTTTGTAGAGTCTTCTGAGGAGGCCACCAAGACAGAACTCTGGTAATCACCAATTTAAGGTGTACAGCAAAACAAGAGGAGATAGCAAAGGAAATAGGGAAGAACTAAAGAGCTAGTTAGAGAAGAAAGAGAAAGATGAGGTCTGCCATGGAAGCCCAAGGATCAGTTTGCAGAAGAAAGAGATTCATTTGTCAACAGGGTCAAATGAGATGAGACAAGAAGGCCACTGGGTTTGGCTACTGGGAAACTGCTGGTGGCCTTTGCCAAAGCTATTCACATGGAGGGGTTGATGGCTGCCATGTTGCAGGAGGCTGGAGGAGAAGAGGTCAGCTCACTGAGCTCACTGAAGGTAGGGACTGGGCCTCTTTTCTAGTGCTGAGTGAAGCCACCCAACATACGTCCTCTAAATGAATGAGTGAATCAATTTGGATTGAGAGGGGGATATGCAGTTGCAGGTGAAACAGGATTGACAGAGTGTTTTGTTTAATGATGTTTATAGCCTGTAAGCCAGTAAAAACGGAGAAGGTGTCAATTCTGGCTGGGACTTAAAATATAGATGCTTTGGGCATGAGGGAGGAGGGACACCCTTTCCCGGGGAAGAAAAGTTGATGAGGGATGGAGCTTCCACAGATAATGCCAGTGAAATTATCTGCTGAGAGAAACAGTGGTTGTAGGAGTTTCCGGGAAGTGCTTAATGTCATTCATTCATTCATTCACTCGTTTGTTTCACAAATTTTGAGTACTGGCTGTGCTGTGGAAAACAGGTGGAGGACCTGGTCAGGGACTTGTAGGAGGATGACCAAGAGCCATGAAGGCCTGCTGAAGACCCCAAGCAATCAGCTTCTCTTCCTTAAGCAGGCCTCAAGTCCAGTGGCTCAAGGGACAAAGCTAGTTGTGGGACGGAAAGGCATAGGGACAGACTTGTCTTGTGGTTGCTGATGGCTGAGGGAGCTGCTGCCCCTGTTGGAGGTCTGCTCAGGGTCACCCTCTGTTCAAGCTCCACACACCCTGGGATAGTTTCTGGAGCTGTCCCTCCTTGCCTAGACCCTGGCTGGCTCCTGTTAATCACTCTAACTCTAGTGATGCTCCTTCCAAGAAGTCTTCCGTAATCCCCCATCCTCCTTTCCAGTCTTGGTAGGTGGCCCTTGTCCTGTGCTACTACCATTTCCCTCTCTGTCAGCATCTGTATCACACTATTGTCATGAACTTCCCCTGTATCCCTTTCCCCTCCCACAACCCCTCAAAAGCAGGGACTGTTGTTTTATCTCTGCATCTCCAGGATGCAGCGGGGACCTGACAAGTGGCGCTTCTTGGGATATGTTTGGTGAATAAACGGCACAGGGAGGGGGCTGCTGCCACTACTGCCACTCTGTCCTCTCTCAGATGTAAACAGGTTTCCCAGTTGGGAGAGAGGACATCTGCTGGCCGATGTGACATCCAGCACTTGTGTGTCTACCGTCTCCTCTGAAGGTGGGTCCAGGAGACCTTTGACCCAGCGGGCCCCCATCACCCCTCACCTGGGAAAGCTGGCAGCCAGTGGGAGTTTGGCCCTGAGTCAGGGAGGGAGGGAAGTGTTTGGTCCTGAAGGGTTATCCAGCTGTCCCATCCTCAACCCATCCCCTACAGATGCCAGAGGGACCCCTTTCTCGGGCCACAATCACCCTATTCCTTTGTATAGCACTAGGACACATAAGTATCTTTGATATATGTGAATTGAGTCCTCCCAACAACCTTGCAAAATAGGTATGACCACCATCCCATTTTGTGGATAAGGAAACTGAAGGCTCAGGGAAATAAAGGAATTTGCCCTAGGCCACATGACTAGTAAGTGACAGACCCATGACTTGGGCTCAGGCCTGACTCTAAGTTCAGGGCACTTTGCCACTATGCTGCCCTTTGGCCCAGCTCAGCAGTGGTGAGGGAGGCTGAGCTGGTGGTGAAGTACAAGGGTCCTGCCATGCACTGTGCCTTCCTCATCTCCCCTGGAGATTAAGGGTACAGGACGGGAGGAAAGAGATACAGAGATCACCACATGGGTAAGCAGTGTAGTGAGGTCCCACAACTTCACAGCCTTGTGTGGGGAAGGGAAGGAAGGAGAAATGTGGGTAAGCCTCAGGCCAAGCTGCTGGCTCACCTCTCAGCATTGTGAGGCCACTTGGACTCACATCCACAGCCTGGGCTCATTCCTGGCTGGTGGCCAGTATGAGGTTTCACCCTAGTTCCACTCCTCCTGGGGGCTGGCCAAGGCACAATCCTCACGGCCTCTTTGAGGGTAAGCCAGCCATAGGACCCCAGGCCAGTGCCTGCTCCCTCCCTCCCCCAGGGGTGCCAGGGAACCTGAGGTAAGGTCCCTTGTCCTCTGGTAAGAGATCGTGGGCTGTGAGAGGCAGAGTCGTCTCTTGGGCTTACCTTTGAGACAGTGCCAGGAGGGGACAGCCAGTGGTAGATGAGGGCCTCAGGCAGGGTCAGAGGAGAGGCAGTGGGGGTAGACCTAGGAAACTCTCCTGTCTCTAGGACTGGCATTGAGCTGAGCAAGATGTGGGGGCCTTCCTACAGGGCTCTTCCTTAACCCCGAATTCTCACCCCAGCAGCTTCTTCCTGTGCCCTGGGAAAGGGGATGTGGTCTCTGCGCTGCCTAAAAGGGTGCCCAGGCTGGGGTAGGTCGGTTGAAAGCCTGGAGCTCTAGGGACTGGGGAAGAGCATGGGAACATGCTGAGTGAAGAGCAGGGGGAAGGATGAAGAAGAGGGGATGGGAAGGGAGGACAGTGAGAAAAGTATCAGGTGGGAGGAGAAAAGGGGCTTAGAGGAGATGGGAGGAGGGGGAAATGGGGAAGGAAGGACCAGTCCAAAGCTAATGAGCATGATGCAGGCCTTAGCTCCTGGCCAGGCTGTGAGGGGTCAGAGTGGGACAGGGCAGGTGTAGGAACTGAGGATGCTGCGGCTCTGCTGCTCCTGGAGCTCCGGGGTGCCATGGTAGGAGGGCCTTCTCCTACCAGGTGCCTTGTAGAGCAGGGCCGCCACTCACTTTGGGCAGCTGGGTGAGGGGCAGGCAGGAGCTGCTGGAGGCCTCCCACTGGAGGGAGAGAATGGAAGGAACAGGGAGTCACAGGACAGTGGGGGCTTGTGAGGACCTCCTGTGTATTAGACATGGAACCAGACATTTTGCTGGGACCTGGGGTTACTCTGAGGCTGTTACTACTGCTGAAGCAAAATACTTCTTGGGGTGGGGGCAGGTGGGGGCAGCTGGTGGCAGCAGGTGAATTTGGTGAGGTTTTAGCTTGAGCTGTGGGAAGACCGAGAGGTCTGCAGCTGCTGCTGAGTGACCCAGGCCCCTGCCCCCTCAGGTGACTGCAAGGAATCTGACAGGTGCTGCTGGAAACACAAGCAGTGCACTGGGCACATCATCTATCCCTTCGCCTCTGACTGTGGCCACCACAGCCTGCACCGACACTCTGTCAAGCACTGCGACTGTAATTCTAGGTGACACCCCCCCCTCAACTTGGAGAACCCATGGCAGAGCCACGTCCAGACTTTCATTGTGGTCCCCCCTTCAACCTTTGGTTTGCCTCTTCAGCTTTGACCTGGTGCTGCTGGCCCAGCCCCAGCTCTCACCTTGCTCTGCTCTAAGAGCAATGGGGAGGAGGTCTGTTGGCGGCCTGGGCCAGGCCCCGCAGAAGCCCACTGTCCCTAAGACTTCTGGCTCTGGGTCCCTGGGGGAAGTGATGGGAGACAGACTGAGAGTCCCATGTGTGGCAGGCAGAAGGACTGCTCAGAGAATAGCAGCAGCTCCCGGGGCGCTGGCCCAACCTGCTCCCATGTCATCGAGTCCCCTTGCTTTGAGCTCACCCCGGAGGAGGAGCACGTGGAGCGGTTCTGGTATGGCTGGTGAGTGAGCTCCAGTGGGCTAATGGGGAAGGGACCTCTACAGGGCACTGCCCCCACCTGTCTGTCAAACTTCCCGTCCTCCCTCCTCCCAGGTGTGAAAGCTACAGACCTGTCTCTGTGGCAGTGATCCACCATCCCCTTCACCATGAGTGTGGAACAGATGATGTAAATCAAGAAGAGGAAGAGGAGGAGGAAAGCAAGCCTCCTATCCCGGCGCAGGTGGGGCCCGCCACTGCCTCCCCTGACCTAGGCACCACCATGGCCACTGGTACCCCTGACTCTGCAGCACCCATCACCATCTGGCGCTCTGAGAGCCCCACAGGGAAGGGTCAGGGCAGCAAGGTGATCAAGAAGGTAAAGAAGAAAAAGGAAAAAGAGAAAGACAAGGAGGAGGGCACGGATGAGAAGGCAAAGCTAAAAAAAAAAGCCAAGAAGGGCAAATTGACTAAGAAGAAAAGCCCAGTTAAATCAGAGCCTTCCCCTCCAGACGTGAGCCGATCATTAAGCCCAAGACAGCTGGCCAGGATGTCCGAGTCCAGCCCAGAAAGCCGGGAAGAGCTGGAGAGTAAGGACAGTTACAGTGGCCGGGGGCAGGGGGAACTGTCCAGCGAGGATAATGTGGAATGGTTATCACCCAGGAAGAAAGAGAACACAGTACAGGCCAAGAAGACAGGGGCAAAGCCCTCACAAACCAGGAAGGTAAACAAGAGAAAATCTCCCCCAGGATCAAACCCCAATCTCAGTTGAGGCCAGGGTGCAGAATAAATGCCATAGAGCCTGTGGCTGGTCCCCTGCTTGTTCTCTCCCTCCAACCTGGCTGTTTCTTGGGGAGCAGAGGGTGGGCTCAGGGCTGCAGGGGTTTCTCAAAGGCAATCTGCTTTCACAAGAAAGCCCATGGGAAGGCAGGCGGGAAGGAAAGGAAGGGGCACAGCCGTGTTTCTTCCTCACACCCTAGGACAAGGGTAAACAAGTAGTGGGAAGGAGAGCTTCCCCTCTCTCCTGGGAGAGACTGGTCTGTGTGAAATCCATTTCTGGGACAGGCAGTACTGTCTGCAGCGACACCCCCAAAAAACAGAACTTTTGAACCCACTCTATGCCACTGTGCCTGGCCCTTCCCTCCTCTAAGTGGCTCTGAGGAAGGTGCTCATAGTACCACTGGGAACTGACCTTCCCAGCTGATGTGGTCCAGCTCCTGGACTGAGGAAGGTGCTTATAGTACCACTGGGAACTGACCTTCCCAGCTGATGTGGTCCAGCTCCTGGACTGAGGAAGGTGCTTATAGTACCACTGGGAACTGACCTTCCCAGCTGATGTGGTCCAGCTCCTGGACTGAGGAAGGTGCTTATAGTACCACTGGGAACTGACCTTCCCAGCTGATGTGGTCCAGCTCCTGGACTCTTGTAGCCCTTTTGTGTTGAAGGGAACAGACCTGAGTTCCTGGCAAAGCAGGTTCCTTTCCCCAGCTCTTGATGAAGAAAAGCAAGGGGAGGGAATACCACGTGTGGGCAGCAGTGGCCTTTTCCGACTTCTCTGTTAAGTCCCAAGCAGAGGAAAGGGAGCCAGAGACCCCACTCTCCCAGCACTGACTCAGAGTGAGACGAAGCCCTTGTGCAGAAACAGGGAGTGCAGGAGTCCAGAATAAAAAATGCAGTGGGGCAGGGACAAAGGGCCAAAGCCAGTGTGTTGGACGGGAGCAGGTGGGCGGGGCCCCATCCTGGGGCAGGAACACCTGACTGCTGGGAGCCTGTCAGAGACCAAGGCCCAGCTGAAAAGAGACGAATGGCAGAGGCTCAAGTTGAGAAACCCAGATTTACTTGTGGTCTTTCTCCAGTATGCTAGAGAAAACCAGCAGGCACGGCGGATGGGGCAGCTGTGCTGTGAGTGAGTGGGTGTACTATAGCGGGTAACATTTGCGAGGTACTAGGCGTTGGGCCAAGGAGCTTGCACAGGCTGCCTCGGTCTTCACAGCAGACGATGAGGCAGGTATCACTATCTCCATGTTACAGCTGAAAGACTGCAGGAGCTGGCACAGGCTCACAGGGCTGGGAAGTAGAGCAGGGATGGGCCCCAGGCAGTATGATGCAGAAGCTGCCTAGTCTATGAATCTCTGCCTCTGATGGATCAGAAGAGGGAGTCAGAAGAGTCCTTTGAGCTCCAAATGCTGCTTTGAAAGCCACCCCTCAAAGAGCCAGAGAGTTGAAGAGAGAGGCTTTGGCAAGGGCTCCGTAGAAACACTGTTTATTCAAATGACAGGCAGGAAGCGGTGGTGGCAGAAGGTGGGAGAGGGCAGCCAGGCAGGGCTGGGCAGGTGAGTGCTGCTTCTCTCTGTCCCTTGCAATCCTGCTTGGACAACTACCTGGCTGTTGGCATCAGGATCAGAAATATTTTCCCTCTTCTCCCTCTTGCCCCAAACTGAATAAATAGCATCCCTCTCCCCATAAGAGCTAGGGGAGACTCGTGCTAAGCTTGGTGCCCCAGTCACAGCCCAGGGTCCAGTGAGGGCAGAAGTTCAAAATGGCTTATAGGGAGAATACAGAACTGTTCCACTCATTCTCACCTTCCTCTTCCTCCTCCCTGCTACACTCCCCTCCCAGCCTGGTCCCAGGACAGGTGGTCAGCGAGGGTCTGGAGTGGGAGAATTGTTGCCTAGCATACACTGAGCTCAAGTTCACAAGGCCATCTAGCCTGTCACCCATCCAGGTTGACCACCAAAGAGAACGTCACTTCACGCCACTTTATGGACAGAAAAGGAGGGGCAGGGAGGGAGGCAGTGGGCGGCCAGGCCTTTCCCAGCCTCAGAGGTAACCAGAGTCCGAGGAGCAGGCCCCCTACCGATCCATCTCGTCCAGGAGTGGGGTGGCATCGCCAGCAATGGACATGGGGGTGCTTTCGATCATGGGGCTGGGGGAGGGCCGAGGTGTCAGCCGTTGCTTCTGTTTCCGCCGTTCTGCCTCCTTCTCCTGCAGCCACTGCTCCGCCATCTTTCCCCAGTCGATGGCTGCATGGCTGTTGGACCTGGGAGGGGAAGAAAAATTTAGATTGGGACTTTGTTAAAAGGAAGTCTTCCCACCAATCACTGGGGAGTATCCACCCTTGCAGAAAGGGACCTCACACCTATGGGCAGCAGCCCCTCTGCTGGGTGAGGCAGATGCAACAGCAGCTGGTTGCCACACTGCCCTCTTCTGTCTTCCCTCAGAAACTAGTGTTCCTGATATATGACATGGTCAGGGCGCTCAGAGGATCCAGAGCACCTGCCTATGCTAAGCCTCTCAGCTTCTTGACAACACCTGCCCCCACTACTGACCTGCACTGTGCCAGCATCCAGATACTTACTTTGGCTGCTGTTGCCGTTGCCGGGAGCTGGAGGAGGGCTGGGGCTGGGCCTGGGCCGACTGTGGGGTGGTGCTGGCCTGGAGCTGGTGGTACTGAGGGGTGGTGATGGGCTGGCTTGGGGTTGTGTAGGAGTAGCTAGGGGTCATCAGTGGTGTGGCCACTGGCTGCTGGGCTGGCGTTGGGAATACCTGGAGAGATGCGAACAATTAAATGGGGATGGGTGTGGGGTTTGTCTGGCCTTACTGTGAATTCTGGTTAAGCACAAGGGTGGGCTCAGCAAAGATTTCCAGATGATCCTCCACTGAGTGTGTGCTTCTGACCAGCAGTGGGAAGCCTGCAGGCTGGCACCTAGCACACAGTGGGGCCCACCAGTCCCAACCACATCAGATTTCTAGTGGCTTGCGGATTCCAAAGATCCCAAAGACCTGTGGAGAGGTCACACCCTCTCTTACTCTCTTCCCCTTCAAATGGGCCTGAGGACAAGGAGTATCTGTTGGAGACAGTTACCAAGGCCATGGCAGCCCCATCTGTACATATGAAGCCCCTTGTGGGCAGTGCAAGAGGCCAGTTTATGGGCCCCACCCTGCACAGGGAGCCTCCTTCCCAAGTCACGTACGTGGTAAGCACTGCTACCGCCTCCACTGCCGCCATAGCCATACTGGCTGGAGGCCCACTGGGCTGGGGTGGCATTAGGGTTCTGTCCTTGGCCTGTCACCGCAGCAATGGCACTGAACATCTGTGAAGTCATGTTCTGGGGCAGGGCATTCACGGCCCGTGTCAGATCTGTAAGCACACAGAGAGGGGGAGGGGCATGTTAGAGGTGAAAGTCCCTTTAGTTCCATCCTCCCCACCTCCAGTTCCAGGCTCAAGCTCCTCACCTGCAAGGTTGATGTTGGCTGGGGTAGCATTGATAGAGGCAGGTGTCCGGGTCCTGCTGCTGCTGCTAGGGGTGATGCCTGCAGGAAGTGGCTACTTAGTTACATCCCTCCAGAAACCTATTTTTGGTTTTCCAATTCAGTGGGCTGGAAGGGGCACTGAAGTAGGTGGAGGGAGGAAGGGAAACTGCATAGGCACAGTGGATGGAGAACCTTCCTGATGCTAGGAGGCTGGGGGACTAGTAAGACACCTGCAATGACAGCCTACTCCTCACCACTCCCCTAGGCTGGGACTACTATGAGTCTGGTCTGAGGTGTTCCTCCAGCCATATACCCCTGAAGTCAGAAGAGCAGAACTCGCCTGGTACAGGATCCTGGTAGTGATCCTTAAACCATCTGAAGAGTCCATTCACGGTTGGGAAGATCTGGCCCCGGTACCGGAATCCCTCTGGAGTCACCGTTACATATTCTATCCTGGGATTTTAGAAGGAAACATGCATCAGAAACCACTTGGGACCCACCATGAGAAAGCGACCAGAACAGATGTCCACCATGTGAAGTAGCCATTCTGGGTGCTAGGGGAAAGGAGAGATGACACAGCCAGTCCCTGGGCCTGTGAAGGGAGGTGAACAGCACAGAGTACAGTCAAGGCCAAGGAGTTGGTGGCCCCTTGTGTGCTGCATACAGGCTGCCGGAGGAAGGCTTGCTGGAGGCTATGTCGCCATACTGGGCTGCAGTGTGAACACAGCATACTGCCAGTGAGGTGAGACTGAGGTCCCATAATGCCAGGGTTGGAAAGGGCCTTCCAGGGTAGCAAATTGCAACTCCCCAAAAGCAGGCATCTTTCTGCAGTGGCTGTGGAAGGTGGTTAGTCTGCCCTGTTCAACACTTCTGAGTAGCAGACAGTAGTTAAGAGGAGGGCTCCAGGTTAGTTCCAGATCTAGTTCTAGTTTTAGCTCTGCCGTTCACCACCTATGACACATTGCACCAAATAGCTAAACTTGAATCTCTGCTTCATTTGTCCAATGAGGACCACAGCACTTCAACCTATGGGGTGGGTGTGAGGATAAATGAGAATGCACAGAGCACATTCCACAACGCCTAAAGCTGGGCTGTGCTCAATAAAGTCCAGCTATCAAGGACAAACAGACAGTGCTACACAGTACACAGTTCTCATTTCTATTAGGCTAACACCTGCCCCCTAACTCTAAGTGTTAATTCTGCCACACAAGGAGAATCAGCTGCTTTCCAGAGAAGCTATCATCCTGCACCTGCTCCTGGATAGAGGCCCCAGTTTGTTCAACTGTTCCTCATGAGACACAGGTGCCAGCTCCACACAGCCATGGATGCTGGCCTCTGGAAGCACAATGGTGAGTCAGAACAGGCTTCTCAAGAAACGAGCACAATATTCCAGATATGCCCAAGATGGCACACGGTCCAGAGTCTAGGACTTCCTGTCATCTGGCCACTGAGCTCCTACTAATACAGCCTGAGCTGTGCATCACATGTAGCCAGTACAGGGATAAAAGGAGAAGTGCACATGGCCTTGGCCAAAGGCCAATGGAAGGATGGAAGCAGGGCTTAG